GCAACTTTAATAAAAATAATTAAAATAATTACAACTTTACAAAAAGAGAGAAGTTGCCGATCTTGCCCCTATACCCGGGGCAACTTCGTCAATTTCTCTCTTCTTGTAAAGTTGTAATTATTTTAATTATTTTTATTTTCAAACTGATTTTAACCAGTTATATAGTAAGAAAACATTCCAATAGACAATATGCAAAGCTTATTTTTCAGTTTACAGCAGTATTTATTACACAAAATTTAAGTAAAGCTTAACATGCCGATCTTGCCCCGATCTCCCCTATATAGTAAGCAGAAAAGCAGAAGGTCGAAACTTTATGAATATTAAGAAAAAAGTAATTAACTGCTTCATTCCGTAGTTTATACTTATTTGTTTTTTGTTCAGATCAGTAATTTTTATTCGGGATTTTTTCTGTATGTTAGTATTTGTGCCTGTGTGTGTGGGGAAGCTTTTTTCTATGAAGCTTAATAACTCCTGTAATTTTTGTCGAAATTTTCTGAAATTTTGCAAGGACGTTTGTGTATAAGGGGGATTGATGCTATTCAATTTTCGCGTTTAAAGGTCGATGAGGCGGAAATATAAACGAAAATCGAGTGTCATATGTCGAGTAGGTCGGACTTAATTACGATTTTATTCGTTATTAGCATTTACAGTTTCTATAAAACCCACTTTTACAATCAAAATTAAGATTTTTTCCATTTTATAATAGTTCAAAGTTTAAAATAAATAATAATTTAAAATAAAATACCGTAATAGATGGCGCCTCCAAATATTGCCTGGAAAGTTAATTCGTTGCTGGATTTTAATAAATTTAAACGTATACGATATTTAGTATTGCGAGTTGTTTCTAAATTGTCTTTATTTGATAATCTTATAACAAGGAAGTTCTTAATTATGAAAAAAAACGTAAATATTTTGAAAAGGAATGCAAAACGGGAATATGGAGTAGTGTGACCCAGGCTCTGAAATAACCAAAACATTTAATTTTTCAGTTCAGTTATTGCAGATAGATGTATATTCTTCAAATATTTTTATTTTGTAACTCATTTGTAATCGATAACCACCGCTTACGTCAGTGTTCTTAACGTCGACTGCGAGAAAATATTTCGAGGGATGCGAGTGTTAACAATAAGTTTTTAACCATTCGATACGTATTATAAAATTTTAAGCTGTTTTATGCTACATAAATTGCAGAGGACTTACTGGATACTCTGAGATCCGTCGAAAAACTGGAAACTCTTCGACCACGTCCAGGACTCTCCCTACTCTAATGTACCACTTCCATCTTGAACACAATTCTCAAGGGAGATAGGAGACCTTGTATTGAGATTCGAGGCTGTGTCAATTAGCGTAAACGAAAAGTTTAACAAGAATTTGGCGCTGTTAACAAGTGGATATCGCCGGTACTTGTTCTATGAATATGAAGCATTCGACTTGATAAACAGGTGGTTCAAAAGCCGTTTTGTCGCGTCAGAATGGCCGAGTGGTCTAAGGCGCCAGACTTAACTTCTGGTCCTCGTTTGAGGGCGTGGGTTCGAACCCCACTTCTGACAGTTTTTTTGTCGAGTGAACACGTCTCGTTTTACATCAGGAACGTGTTATGCTCGCGGTAATTTCGGTGTTCTTATGTTGTTACAGATTTTAATGTCGAAGTTTGTTGCGTTTTGCACAAAACTTTTTTTGTTTTCTGGTTTGTATGCATGACAAGATCATGCAGAGAAACCAGAGAAATCTTTTGTTTTTAATAGGATAATTCAGGATAACACCATTTCAACTACCATTGTTCGGTAGTGTTCTGAAACCTAAGAACATTAATGATTGTGAATTAGCGTGGAAACAAAGTAATAATAATTTCTTTGATTATAATTTACTTTACATAGAAAACTTAATTATGATAGTCCCCTATTTGATATCTAAAATAAGGACATCTTCTCGTTTGGCTACCATAAGACACCTGTATATAGACAACTCTTATTCGGTCATTTTTCATTTTAGATTACATTTGCAGATCAACACTACGTAGGTGATGAGTAAATTGGCGTAGAGTCGAAACGTATAAACAAATATTTAAACTCAATGGCAATTTGATGGTGCTTATATCTCAACAAACTTCGATATTGAAAATATCTACAAAAACAACGAAATTATCGCGAGTATAATGCAATAATACGTTTAGTGGATTATAAGAGAATTATCATGAAGGCAATGTCATGAAGGAGCCCATGATATGCGTTTGTGATAAAACGCTAATTATTTGCAAATCTCATCGCCACAAATGCATGGTGCAAATTTTACTTGATTTGGATGCTTCATTCAGGGTGTTGCATTTTGGATGGCCAGCAGTGTATTTTGGTAATATGTATTGATATGCAATTTTAGCATTATTCTTAGATGTACTAAAGTGCAAATAACATATCATATTCTATATACTATTCACAAATTATATAAGAATACGTTCATTCCGAACGTTTCGTAATAAGAAATCAAATTATCTGGAAATCTGCAGTGACGCCTATATGTAGTCTGTGAAATGATATATGAAAGATTATCTTAAAATATTTGAGATTAAAAGGTTAATTTATTTTAGTGTAATTCTGCCATTGTTATATGCTGCATGTTTATATACNCGTGCTACAGTTATTTATAGCTATGTAAACAGAGGGGACCGATTTAGCGGTAATATATGTAATAAACGAACCGGAATTGCAGTTTAACGTTTCGCACGCGACAGGGGACCGAAAATTCGGTATATAAAATAAACTAAGCAAAAAAATCATTCAAAAACATAATCTTATTAAGAATCCAACGTATGATGACGAAATACATCGTTAAATACGTAATATTCTATCACACGGATTTATGCAAATCAAATAAATTTTATGTCCAGAGCCTTGAGCCGCATGTCTCGGCTGCTGTAAAACGCGCGGCTTTAGCCTCAAGGCGTCAGTGTTCAACCGGATAATATGAGAACACAGCAAAAAGATATTTCAACACTCGACTGATTTAAGTTTTCTCCTCATATTTTACAATTCAAATTTAATTTATTGTAATTAAGGCAGAAAATGAAAATGTAAAGATATACGTAAGTCCGATGATAATAAATTTTAATAAGAATAATTCGAGAGCTAACTTTATTTTAACGTATTTTTATGCTGAAACTCGGTAAATATAACCAAGTGTAAAATTTAATAACGTGGGTGCTTGTAAATGCAGTGTAATGACGTATTTAGTCTTCTCTATTTACCCCCACTTTGAATATCGAAAAAGTCACAAAAAAGGGTATTTTTCATTTTTAAGAACATATTAAAGTATCTATAAGTTCTATATTTATAATTTACAATAAAATATTTTACGTACGGGATATTTGGTAGTGGGATGTTTGAAAAATACGTCTATAAAATTATTTAATTTTTATCAGAAATTACGTTTTTGTTTGCGTATAGTTGATAATTGAAACCATCACTTTATTATACAAAAATAATAAGTTTATATAATACTTTTCGCTATTCAACTTGATATACTATATACTATTCAATTTGTGTAATTTAGTCTTGTCCTATTTGTGAGACTAATCGGGGGTAGGATGTTTACGAGGATGTCCCTCTCCTACCACTTACTCGACTCAAGACCTTGAGGTCCGGTCTCGCTTGTCTAAAAGATGGAAAAAAAAGGTTTAGGAGAAAGGATCGTTAGATTCTTTCACCTGTCAGGATCTGACACCAATCTATCAATTTATTGCGGATAGATACGCGGATGGATGGGGAATTATCACGAGCGATCTCGTCGAGGACTTCGGGTTCAGTATGGAGTGGATAATGTCGGAAGAAACGTACACCAATCCAAGTTCGTTAACAAAATACCCGTTTATTCCGTACATTTATACATAGTTAATAATTGGAATACAAATTCCTCTCGGGTTCAATCCGTATAGTTCAGAAAGTAACGGCAAAGTATAAAGTAGTCGCGACCCTACCCGCGAGGTTCGAATATTCGAGAGAGAGCTTACACATCATCGCGTGTAGGATAAATACCTCTGATTAGGTTGTTATAACGTTGATCCGAGGTTTGTCCTTCCAAGTTCAAAGTTCAAATCAGTCCAAAGTTCGAAGTCGAAGTTCAAAGTCTATTAAAGACGGTGGAGACGAGATGCAGTTAAATCCACGGGCACACACTCACAGTATAGAGAAAAGAACCTAATTTCCCCCTTGTGTCGTCATCGCACTTGCCTTTTATATGGGGGCTCTTTTTTCGAGATTTCCCCATGTACGTCACAGGTTATCTTCTTTGACCAATGATGGGCGAAGTGACAAACTTATGACACAACAGTTAACTCATCTTCTACAGGGAAGTATTGTCGTGGGAACGGAGTTTTTATGAGCGATTTTTATGAGAAAATTTGTCGGTTGTTTTTCCCTTTTTGTGTTAACCCTAACTTTAAAAAAATCGGTTTGATTTTGAAACAAAACGGTAAATGAATGAATAAAAATGAATATAACTATTCGAATCTTATATCCGGGCCCTCACATATTGCTCTATTTTGTAATTCAAACTTATGTTTGTCACAATCAATGTAAGAAATTTACCAAAAAAGCGTAGCAAAAGGTATTTGTATCGTGTCTTCTGTTCAGAAAACAAAGAAAATTATTTTATAGATACTAAAACAGTTTTTAATCTCCATTGTGAAAATAACACTTTCGGAAATGTTTGCTACCTGCAACGATCGTCTCTAGTCAATTAAACATAAATTGGGAGCTGTAAAGGTATATTAAACAATCTTTCCACGTTTAAAAAGGAAGATATAATAGAAAACAGGGGAAGACAGACGGGCGGATTTTCAGTCAGACAAAGATGGAGATGAGCTGGAAACAGTTTTTATCGAATATATCATCGATGACATAGGAAAAATTTCACAAGTTTCATTACAAGTCAGTTAAGCTTTACTTCATGTTTCAACTGAGCAAGTCCTGGGACTGCGTGTTCTGCAAAAATCTCGGGCACATTGAATTAGCTGTATCGTTACTCTTAGTAAGTTCGTATATAATTGGGGAGCCCGCATTTCTGAGGAACGCTCGTATAAGACCAAATTTTTTTCCTCCTGTTGCTAACTTTTTCGGTGTTTTATACAGGTAATTGCGTGATTACATGTTATATGAAGCTGCACCGGAGGGAATGTTACCGTATTATATGCAGTATTAATTAGGCCTATATTTTGTTGCTTTTATAAGACTTCAGACTTTGTAAAATGATTCTTGGCTCTTACTGGGTTCGCCTTTGTCAACGGTAATATTGGTTTCGTGAAAGCTGGAAGCCTCGACACGGCCTAGATTTCCTATAAAGAGTCAATTGACAAGAGTTATCACATAAATTTTTGTGTATAAAACGTAGATATCACTCATGTAAGAATTATTTATCTTTTATATCTATACAATATATACAGACCACAATAATAATACGATATTCAAAATTAATTTATGTTTATCAATAGAGAAGAATTTGGCTACTAAATTATCTTGCACCTGAAGAATAGAACGAATATTGTTTCATTCAAGTGTTATATATAAGGTAAATAGTTTATATGTTTACTTTAAGAACGTATTTTTTTAAAATAAAAGTTAAGTAAAACGAAGAAATATGACGAATTTGTATTATATATAAATTATTAAATTTGAATTAAAGAAATGGCAGAAGCAAATGCTTCAAGTGCGGAGAACAGCGTCGTCGTCTCTGAGGTCAATTACGAAGAAGTTGCAAAAGTAAGTCGGTAAATCGAATTTTATTTTAATGTAAATTATAGATAATTGTTTTGTGACACAACTATTATTTTGGAATGACTTGAAGATTCTACTTACTCCTAATTTCTTGCAAAGAACTGAAACACGTAATTTCGTTGCCGTAAAATTAGAAAATGCTGAAAAACAAGTATATATAAACTAAGGACAGTATTGACATGTATCTAATTTCAATTGTTTATCTGTCAAATTAGTTGCTGTAATTTCAAACAGTGAGTTACGTATGCTAAACAGGTTACTCAGAAAAATTCTTAGTTAAAACTTTTTCGTATAAAAATTTACGTGTTAAATGAACTTAATGTATTTTTCATGGCAACGGAAATTACAATTGTTGGAATTAATTTGTTTCTGACGTAAAAGTTTAAATGTACAACAGGAAACTTTCTCAAATGTTAATTTTATATTTAACTTCACAATATGAAAAGAAAGAAATAACAATAATTAGGCCTATATTTAAGGTTTTTTTGTGGTATAGAATAGATGGATAGCCACTTGAATATAACTGTAAAGTTATGGGAAAGGGTTTCAATCAATCGTACTCAAATCGAATGTTTTCATAATGTTATAGTGGTGCATTAATATTAAATACACTTTATATTGTTAATTTTACTTTCTATAAACTGTAATGTAGACTAGTTTAAAGGTGGAAATTAATATATATTAATTAATTACAGGCAACTTATGGGGTGACGCAAGGCGAAAATATTCTTAGGAAAATTCCAAACGGTAAATGCTTTTGTATATCTTACTGTATAAATTAAACCGTAAAAAGACGATATAATAGAAGATATTCTGCAAAATTCGTTTATTTTGGTTTATATGTCTGTTTATATGAATTTCTTATGGCGCCATTAAAATTCTTTAGTTGTATTTTTGTTAGAAGAAGGAAGTATGTTTAATGCATAAATTTCGCTGCATACGAAAAATTAATTATTTTAATTTTTTAGGAATAAGTTTGCCATAATTAAATAGAAAATATATATTATTTTCAATTTTTAATCGCATGAGTAGAAGAATGAAAAAAGCACGACCGAGAAAAATTGTGTTATATATTAAAAAGCAATACTTTACTCTGATTAAATTATTGTCTTCTACACAGTTATAATGAAGATGGGAATTTTTTAGTCTAAAAATTATTTATATTAAATTGATTTACACGCATAATTTTTATCGCAGTTTAACTGTTATTAAATTACTATAAACAATTATAGTTTGGTAAAAAGTAATATTGAATTCCGTATTAGTTTCAGCGGTGAAATATGATGAATGTCAATCGATACTGTACAAGTGTGAAAATGTTCACACTGGACCAAAATATGAATTTCATTTTGGAGAATCGAAAGCAAGTTCCTCAAAGAAAGAAGATGAAGAAAGGAATAGTGAGTACCAGTCCTTACAATAAACGCACATAAGAAATACTGTATTAACAATTTTTCTGTTCTTTTGTGCCGAGAATGAATACTTTTAATTAATTTACCATAATAAACACTACTTAAGTACTGTACATAAAGTGCTTTGTACAGAATATAAGATTACTGAAAACAATTGTAATTTTTGTTGTTTTAAATGATTTCAAATTACGGTTTTTTTGTGCTTGAAAGTGGCGTAGAATATTCCGAAACTAAAATAATAGAAACTAGTAAAGATTTCAGCTAATTTCTAGAAACACATTGAAGAAAATGCTTGATAAAGTATTTGTAATAAATTTCATCGCAAAGTTTTTTTTTTTTAAATTAATTTATAATTAGAAAACTTTGTATATTAGTTTCTTACACAGAATAACTTACAATAAGTATCTTTCACTAATTTTTTACTAAAGACCTGGACAATCAATAAGTATCCACTTTAAATCTATGAAAGTCAAACATTATCTGAAGTATTTTTTGTTATATAATCCATATTCTCTAATTTTATAAGCTCAAAAATATCAATTGCACATTACTTCCTTTTACTAAAACAATGTTGTTATGAAGAGTATTCGAGTCATACATACTCACAGAACTTTAATAATACAGTGAACAAGAGGATATCCTGCTGGTAGGTGCTAAAAACAGAAGAGCTGATGAATTCTTCTACAAGCAGTATTCCACAAGCTTTTCCACTTGGAGGGTATACAGTAAATTAGCGCTGACAGCGTGAATGAGACTTCGATTCATAATGAGTATTGAAATCTTTAAATCTTAGCATATTATAAATATATAAAAATACACGGGCACTTTTGTGAAAAAGTACTATAACAACCACTTTACCTGGCGGACTATGAGTACCAGCATACATTGTCTTAAAGTATGTTCTAATTGTAATACATCGAACTATTTTTACCGAACTGAAATCCATATGTAATCTGATAATAAAACACAAAATCGTGTTGCTGAACTCAAAACACTGGTGTATGCATTAAGAATATTGATTAGCGTGGCAGGCTGTGGATGACACGATGTACAAATCTTTTTCGGCTGTTTATGATGCTCAATAACGATATTTGTTTCACACGCCGAAAGAACTAACCGGCTGCTTTTTGTCCATGAGGATTGTAGAAGCAATCAGCACAACGTCTTTGCAAACGTTATCTGGCATTTGTAGAAATGTGCGAATGGAATCGAAGGTCCATAAACGAAGTGTGGGGTAGCCCATCAGAACCTAAAGGCTTTGTTTCACTCGTTATTATTATTTATGAATATCAGAATAAGTTGCATCCACGATACATGGTCTGTTTACCGTACGACAAGGAGACTATGTTTAATTCTAATATTTCTCTCAGCCGGATCGCTAAGATATGTATTTCGCTGTTGCTTCGAAGTTTGTTTTTCAAAAGGATATATAGATTAACCTCCTGGTATACTCCATTACTATACAGGGAAGCGATTGAAATTATCATGTTAGGCACATGTTATGTTTTGCCAGTAGGATGCTGTTTATTCTATGATTAATTGAAGTTGCAGTTGCGCAGAGAACTGAAATCGTTTTCAAAATTGAATCGGTCAACTTTGATAAACTTTTCTATTTTACGTAACATGAGACGAGAAAATTAAAAATGTAACAAAAACTCGGGTCCACAATTCCGTTATCAATATACAAGAAATTAAAAAAAAAAAACTTTTTTTAACTGTTTTCATGCTAGCAAAAAGTGATTTTCATAGATCGTACCCGAAACAATATTACGGACTTCGTAAAGTGTCGACTCAATTCTAGTTTTACGTTAATACACATTTATGATTTAAATTGAAATATTAAGATATTGATAGATATATTCCACACAATTTCGAAAATATTCTTCTTGAAACTTGATAAATTTGCAATTATAACAATACTGTATTGGAAGCAATCCTAAGTGATAGGCAATTAAAGTAAACGTGTCATATTCTTGTTATATTAGATATTATTTAAAGCTCACTATTTATTTCAAATGAATAATGTCATATGATATGATATTCTCTTGCCATTTATTGTGTCAGAATTCAAATAATTTAGAAAATAATATGAATGGTGTTGCCACCTTTTCAAAATTGCTGACCCGGACAGTCCCTCTCGATTCTCCTCCGCCGCTTTTTATTTTTTGTTTCCGCCCCGTAGGCACTGAGTGGGCCTCTTTAAGCAAGCTTTTATGGGTTCTGCCAGGCCTATAATGGGGCGAAATATTTTAAAATCAGGATGTTATACTTAGAAATAAAAAAATTAGGTATTTTTATTGTGAATAGAAAATAAAAATTTTTTATTAGAAGATAAACATGATATACAGTAAACCCCCTATATCTCGGGTTCATATAATGAAAATTCGTATATCGCGGCGAAAAAATTGCGATCGTATTAGTATAAGGACGCTAACAGAGACTCGTAAAATGCGGTAAAACGTCATCACCGACTCATGTCGCGACAGGATTGGTCGAATCTGGACCAATAGTGGACGAGCTACCGAACTACTTACACGCTACTGAGAGTTTAGGCGGATAAGTTGAGTTTACTATCGTCTGTACAGTATGTAGGTTCAAATTAGGTGCTGTAAGTCTAATACAGTACTGTAATTTTATACATTTCTTGTAAAAAAATATTTCTTATTCAACGGCCAGAACAATTATTTCTATTAGTGATGTCTCCAAAGTTCAACGAATTTTTCGCAGAAAAATAACTTATCAGAAAACGCGGCCGCCGTTTGGTGCGCTGCTCCGCGACGAAACAAGCTTAAGCAATGGCGTGGTCGTACGGTGCAAACTCGGTATGTAATCCTACAATTTCTTGTTTATGTCATAGTTTATACGGATTATTCCCAAAAAATTACACGTGTTTTGGAAATGTTGAGTGAAATTAGTCTAGAATCGATTAATTTTATGGAAGAAAACCTTTCAAACAGCCGTAGTCCGTAAACTGCACACGTGCCGGGCTGTGATTGGCTCATGTATTTGAGGATTCCTACAACGCGAAATTTTTATAAAGCGGAACGTATCTACCGCGTTATAGGGGTGTCGACTGCATTTTTAAAGTAGTAATCCCATGCGGCATATTCAAAAATAATTAATAACAGTCCGATGTCGATATTAATTGCAAAAACAATAGACAAAGGTAAGAATAATAAATAATAACACATTAGAAATTGGAATGTTAAATATAAATTCATTTATCCTCTGAACGTTTGAAAAATTTCCTTTTTTTAATATAAATGTTTTTATTTGTCTTCCAAATTTTCTACTTTTTCCTTTATTGTGCAAACTTCATTAAAATCATCGGCACCTTTTACTGTGAAGTCAAGTTTGTTTATATATTTATCAAGTTCGCAGCAGTCTTCTATAGTTGGAATATTATTTTTTAAACTAAATTTTTGAAATCATAGCAGTTGTTTAAATATTCCAATGCTCGTGAGTGCACCTTATCGGTTTTTTGTTTGAATATTTTTTTTGACTTTTGCTTTTACGGTTTTTTAACTGTAAAACCGTAAAAGCATTGTTCGTTTCTCTGCATTATATCGTTTCTTAGATCCGTAAAAACAGTATTCAGTGTCGTCAATGTTTTCTCCTTCAAAAATTAATATATATATTTGGAAAATATGTAAAGAGGAATGGACGAAATATACCACCAGTTCTGGTAAGGATTTTTCATCGTTAATGCTATTTTCATGATCTTGCACAAATGTCTAGATTGTAGGATTACATTCTTCTTCTCCCTGATTTATAAAATAAAAGGTAAAAGCAAGCTAATTTTTCAGTGACCTATTAATAGCATTATATAAAGTTACCCATGTAGTAGAAATATGCTTCAAGATTTCATAGTATGACTGCTAAAGGAAATCGAAACAATTTCTTAATTTTTAGATGTTGCAGGCACTCGATAAAAATTCGCTATAGACTTTTAATACTAAACTTTCTACATCATATTTCTTTGTTTTTAATGCATATTTAGCGATATTATAGAAAATATGACAGTTACAATTCAAAATGAGGTGATATTTTCAATTGGTAATCCTGTATTATCAATTGTTAATTTTATAACATTAAAAATGTCTTCAGAAGTTTCACTTCACATTTCTTTAAAATCTATCAAAGCATGCACAATAGGTTGCTCGTTGTCAGTCAAATTAAAATGTCGAATGGCGATTAGAAATAACTTTTTATCACCTTTATTAGAAGCATCTGTTTCAACATTAAATAGTAAATGTTTGAAACAGATATAATTAGTTCAAGAGCGTATGGAGCTAATACGTTGAGAAACTCAAATAATTATTTATTTTAAATCGATGTCGATTTCTATTGACAGAAAGCAAAAGAAGCCCGGAAAGGGCAATTTTAAAGTAATTGTTTTGTAAAACAAAGGTACGTTGTAGGAGTGAATTCATTTTATTATTCTTTACCGTGCCTGAAGAGCTGGCTGTCAAAGTGATGTGTATTCATCGTGGGTACCAAATAAATTTCTACTTTGTCTTCTTTCCAGAAATTGTCAGGTTAGTTCGAGTGTTTTTTTTTTTTTTTGTTTAAAGCTTTACCTGTTTACTATTCCATGCATTTATACAATGCTTGCATTTTGCTGCTTATTTAATCATTTATTTATTTCGTCCAACTCTATATTAATAAAAAGCAAATTACGATAAACAATGTTATAAAATTAGTTCTTTCATCGATGAATTAAAGCGTAATATCTTGTTTTTTACATTTACGGCCGAAATTGAAAGTGTTCAGTAATTTCGCATAATGCATATTTTTCCACTTTACATTCAACATTACCCGAGCGGACTTGCCTAAATGCAACACTTATTTATTCAGTGACGTTATATTATCTCTATATATAGCTTATATAAACAGAGATGAAATTCCTGTGTAATTTCTACTACTCTAATAAAATAAACTAAACTGACATGATCTTCAATTAATTATTATTATTGTTATTTACTTGCAGATATATTCAAAAATTGCTCCCGAAAGATAAAGGACAAATATAAGGCTTATTTTTCTTACATGAGAGCTTTCTTATGGGAAGGAAAGAGAAACGATTTTCCATTAAAAGATTATTTCGTAGAATTGACATTAGAAAAGGCAGATTTATTTGGAATGACAAGCGGAGAGGAAATATGTCTGAATGAAATATTTGCCATAGAACAAGATGGACATCAAACTATTTTAGTTACAGGAGATCCCGGTTATGGTAAATCTACTTTTTGCAAAAAAATTGCGTACGATTGGGCATCCTCCAGTTATCTGCAACACTTTCAAATAACTTTTGTTGTAAGTTTACGAGAATTAGGTGTTAAAAGCGTAATAGGTGCATTACTCGATGAGATGTATAAACACCCACCAAGTGATAAAGACTGGAAACTACAAGACAGCCAAGAAAACATTTTGGTGATTTTGGATGGTTTCGATGAGAGTGTAGACAAATCTAAAATTATAAAATTTATAAGAGACGAATCTTATTATATTTCTGGTCGAATGACGATTGTGGTTACGAGTCGACCTCAAGCAGCTGAAGAAATCAGAGAGGACATGAACATGTGGTTCTTAGTAAAAGGGTTTTCTTCGGTAAACCAAGAAAGATACATTAAAAAAATGTTTAAAAAAGACTTGAGTAAAGCCGACAAACTCATTTCTGAACTGGAAGAAAACGACTTTTATAGAGAAATATCAGAATGTCCTCTAATGCTGCACATGTTGTGTTGTCTTCGTCAGAATGAAAAAATAGAAAAACTTAAAACTATGACTGATTTATACATTAAAATATTTACTCTCATAACTGAACGTTACTTAAGAAAAACTGATCAGAAAGTTACGTTTAAAAGAGGAAAATATTTTGTGGGTGAAGATTTAGTATTGAAATTGGTAAAAAAATTCAAATACTCCTTCACATCAAAAGATTTAGAGACTTTATTCACGAAAGAATATGAACGCAATTTCATCATTGGACTGGACATTTTCACTGGCAGTTTCTTTTCTACATGCGATAATATAGTTGAGTATAATTTTCTTCATCATACATTTTTTGAATTTCTATCAGCTTTATTAATGTATATGGAAAATGTTTCATTGTCAGAGGAGATTAGAGAAACGGAATTATTATTTATATTTGGATTATATAAGGATAAACCTTTACCCAAAAAGGTAATAGCTGCATTTGAATATAATTTGTATCATATTGTACAGGTTCTTCGCGCTCACAGAGAAATGAAACTGAAAAACAATTGGAAACAATTTTGTTCTTATGCAAAAGTTCTACTTATTGATTGGAGAGATCTTATTCTTATCCAAAAGGCATTGCAGTTGCTTGTATTACCAGAATTATATTTACTTTTTCACGAGACTCCAATTGAAGGCGAAGATCAGAAAATGTACTTAAGTAAGTACCAAAATTTCCGCCGTTTAGCGAATAAATTGAAGGTTAACGTTATTATTTTAATTGAAAAAAATTCTTCGGATAATTTACAAGATATCAGAGAACCTGTTTCAAGAATTATCGGTTTTTGTCATGTAATGAACAGAATTAATGTGGACATTAATTTAATTGGCGTATGCTGTGGCGAATCCTGTAGCGCTATGTTTAGTGATTTCTTTAATTATGATATTCTTCATTATTTCACGAATGTAAATTACAATTTAAATCTGTCTAACATTCGGGAATCATTAAACATAAGTATAGACGAGCAGTTAGTCGCATTGCAATGTTCGAACAGCGTGGATGGACCCATCACTTGTATTTTATCATTGTTGGAATACGAAATTTTACGTGAGCGCATCAAATTTTGGTTTGCCATTAAGCAAAGTTCAGAATGCGTAATAATGTGAACGAATTTGAAAATATATATTAAGTTGTCAAACAGAAATACTGTCTAAATTCTACTGATAGAATTAAATCGGTCTGTCAGTGACGAAACTGCAAGTAATCAAATGGATAGACTAAATTGTTAAACGTTGTGGATCGTCGGCTGAAACATTTTTCTAACATTATAACTTACACGAAAATAAAAGCAATTGTATTTGTATACAGTAAATAGTGTATCTCTAATGTTTTAAATTGGTTTTGTTGTAAATATTTCGTTGTTACAATGTTGAATACAGTGGTTTTCCGGTCAAACAATGCACTGTGTTTTTGTTTTTGATGGCAAAAAAAAGGAAATTTTACTCTAGTTCTTTTCGTGAATGGAAACTGCAATAAAATTTGTGTAGTCTGTTTGACAGTACGGTAAACACAAACGTTTACGGTACTAAATACTGTATTGTCAGTGCTGGCACTGCAGCATGGGCAAAGTGGGAATCTCTTCAACGCGCCAAATTTACATAAATTTTCGTGAGTGAAAATAACGAAGATCTAAACTATCGTAGTAATGTGAAGTATTTTAAATAAAATGACTATTTCGAAACACTCAAAAATATCCTCCCAGTTGTAATAGGCACGACAGTTTAAATCAAATTAGTTTTCTCTATAATTAGAAGGATAAGCGGCGTCAAATGCACGTCTTGCCACGTTGAAAATTTTAGGACCCGTTTCCGTTTTTAATGTTTTTTACTACAGCAGTGTAATAAAGTAGGGGAAAGTGGGGCAAGATGAGAACATTAAGGTGTGAAAAGTCATAAGACGGCAACCACTTTGATGAGAACGATAATTTTTTTATTCTCGGCAATTACAACATTTGGTAAAATATAATACAAAATTTAATTTTTGAAAAACGTGTAATATTTTAAAATTATATGTAAATGCACCAACTTGCCCGACCCATAGGAGAAATTAAGGTTTGAAAAGTCATAAGATGACAACCGCTTTAAAGAGAACAATAATTTCTTTTATTTTCAGCAACTACAACATTTGGTAAAATATAGACTAATAGTCTACAAAATTTAATTTTTGAAAAACGTTTTTAAAAAAAAGAACATTTAATATTTTAAAATTATATGTGAATTCACTATCTTGCACCACTCATGGGGTAAAATGGGGATATTATTTTTATATACGAGAAGGACAAGTTAAAATGGCTAAACTGTCATTTTCATCAATATTGGCATAAGAACAGTGTGCCCATTTATCAAAACGGCCACGTTTAGCTCAACTCTCTGTAGATACAGAGTATAACACTACACAATAGAGACATTCTGTGTCATTTTTCTTTTGTTTCTTGATAGGCCTACCCTTGCTGAAGGGGCATGTTTGTCGTCTCTGCAGCAATAAAGTCTGCCTTTTAAAATACTTCCGGATTCATAGGCCCTATTCACGATCAACCTGGGGCTAGATGAGTACCTCATCTTGCCCCAAAGTACACTTTTCACACTGACTACAAACACAGGTAAACTTCATTTCAAAACTAAACAAATACAGTCTTAAAGGTTATTTCGAATACCATATCTTCATGTAAAAGGTAATATAAAAGTTCACAATGATACATACTTTGTAAAAACTTTTTAGCAGGTGTAAAATTAGATGAAATAGTGCCGAAACATGAGAAACCTTGTCTTACTTCCAAACAAAGCGAGAGATTTAGACGTTCTCTCGCTCTATGATTCACTTCGAGGTAGACATTTAGTTCCCCAAATAACAGTTAGATAAAAGCACATTAACCAAAAATAAACGGATGTTCCGTCTTACCCCACGACCCCATCTTGCACCACCTTCCCCTACAAGTATTTTCAATAATGCGGGAAGTCGAAGTTGATATTTGATGCTTTTAATATTAAATAGTACGAAGCTAAAGTGGAAATTTTTATAATTATCTTTCAGATTTTCTTAATTGTCAGAAATCTGAAAGATAAAATATTATTTTTTTAGTTATTTATTATACATAGTATATAAAAGTTATTTACAGGTAATCGTTTTTAACATTTATTCTAAAATTTGAATAATTACTTATATTATTTATTTAAAAATATTATACTTCTTACAAAATAGAAGGTAAGAAGTATAATATTTTTAAAATAAATAATATAAGTAATTATTCAAATTTTAGAATAAATGTTAAAAACGTTTATTTTTTTTCATTAAACTAGTGTTACATATCGTCAACTTGGTCTTCTAATTAAATGAATTAGCAAATGATTTGCTTTAATTGGTGTACAACGATACAAATGAATATACTGTTTAACGTTACGACAGATGAAAGTTTATGTAGATAATTACGCAATTATCAAATACAGACGAATACAATGAACAAAATACACCGAAAGGCGATTCTCTTGGTTGACGGACCATAAATATACTAAAAATTGCCTGAACTTCTCTTTTATAAAATATAAATTGTATACAACCATTATCATACCAGTGTTAAAACAGAGAATTGGTATTTGTAATTAATATGGTGAAATTAAACGAGATACGTTCTATAAAGTTTACAAAACACTAGAAATAAACTTAAAGCATGTGAATTTGTACGCTATATTTAAATAATAGCACAGCATAAGAAAGTTATATTTTCATTTCATGGTGAAATAGGTAAAAATGTTTGCAAAAAGATATGAAAGTTGTACACGAACTACCGAACAGAAAGTTCTTACATTATAAAAATACTGTATCGGCATATTAAGGGTTAAGTACTACACATACCAGTTTAAACCCTGATCTCTCCTTCTTTATAATAAATAAATAAAATATACAAAATATCGATATTCAGAATGAAATAATTTAGTTTTATATCACTTAACTAATTGCCTAAAACTCAAATCTAGGGCAAGCAAAACAATTTAGATTTTAATGAAAAAAAATAATTCTAAAGTGACAATCCTGGTCAACAGGAGGTACAGACTTTAGTGTTTTGACTTAAAGTAAAATGGCGGTCGTATTACCCGTCGTTGCTTCAAAATGCACTACATCTAAGGTCACGGGCACTTTGTGTAGTACATTGAAGCTCGTTAATTCTCCCCCACTAAAATAATCGACTTGTTAAGTAGAGTGCAAAGTGAACATCAGTGACGTTGCGAACGTTGCTGCTCGTTCTTTGTTACTCTGTTTGACTTAAATAAATTTTTATTATAATTGTTTGAAAAAACCCTAACATCACTTTTAATGATATAAACATGGCTAGAAAACGGCAACAATCGCTTGAGCAAAGCTGCGATTACACCCATTGTCATCTATGGACTATTCAGACGCACAGTTAAGGTACGCTTACAGGGAAACAAACTATGTTTTAGAATTATGCGATTTAAACATATAATAATTAATCTCGATAAGAAGAATTTGGGATTTGGTCTGTATACCAATAATCACGAAATATTTTATTGATACAAACTGAACATTTTAAAATATTTTTGAAGTAATTCTTTTCGTTTCCGTAATTCGTCCGGATATGTTCAGTACCGTCCCTCACCACCCAACCGCCCCATTGTAGGCATAGACGAACCGATAATGGGCTTGCTAAAAAAGGCCCTCATGGTGCAATTAAAATCGTCATAACTCAGTCTTCAAACATATTCCTTTGGTATATAGCATGCACTGCTTGTAAATAATATGACGTCGTCTAACAATGTTTTCTAATGAATGTAAATATTCTGAATACATAACCTTTGCTGAAGTAGATCTTCAGTAATAAATGATCAATTAGCTTATTTGTTAAATTTTCTGCAGATAAAGAACTTGATGGGGAATTCCTATAAAATAATCTACACTTCTGTACTGAATCATTTAAAAATCTTTCTGTTGTGCTTGATCGAGATCGAAACTGAATAAATGGAAAAAATGAATGCATTTGCATTAATTGAATTCAGACTTTGAAGACTTGTCCATCTCGTTACATATTCATACGTCATTAGATTCTTAAAATACACAGGGTGAGTCAGAATTATGTGGAAAATGTTAAATTTTAATTAAACATTATTGATGAAACATCTTAATTTTGTATAATAAAAAAATGAGACCTCGAACACCTGAAGGACAGAATAAAGGTGTTCGAAGAAGGTGTGATATCCAACATTTCCTTAGAAATGTGTGTTCTGGCACTAAATTGTACTGTTGAACGTCGGTTTGAGTGCATCAATCGTGTCAGTAGTCAGGTTGAGACTCTGTATAAGCTTTAAGTAAATGCTTTCTCTCAAATAGTGTTCACATAATTTTGACTCAGCCTGCATTACACGAGTATTAATTACACTAAAGAGGCTCCAACAGACTGGTGCAAAATTTGTATATTCTATTTGACAACATTTTATACACGGATATAACATACCACTCCCTTTTGGTTTGGAGCTTTTTCAGTCAATTATTTCGAAACACCTATATAAAGTTTCGCATGTTTGCTGTTTCATCTGAAAAACTTTCAATACAATTCTTTAAATCTAGACCAACTTTTCAGGAATTCAGTTATGGCGTTAAATATTACGTAGTTCTTACTCTGGCGAAATCAATTCGACTTTTACTAATTAATGTACTTATGAAGGCCAATAAAATTTTCCAGTCTGCCACTGGTAATTAACATATTAAGAAATTGTATAAGTTTTTGTTTTACAAAGTATGAATTATATAGAACCGTTACGATACCAAAATTAAGGTATGAGGTATTGATATTGGACGACATTAATATGATAAAATTAAACGAGTTATATTGTATAAAGGTTACAAATCACTCAGAATAAGGTTAAAGAGTGTGAATTCATACAGTAAAAGAAATTGCACTTTCAATTTTTCACGCATCGGTGAAATATCTGAAAATTGTATTTGCGCTATCAAATAAACTCCAAATAAATAAATAATATAAGGTGAATACTGAATGTGTGTACTGATAACAATAACAGTAGTTCTTTATTACAAATAACAGTTTACATTAATGTGAGAAGTGAAAATTCTGTCAGGAAAATAAATATAATATTTTCGGTTTATAGTATTGCTTTATACGTCTCAATTAAATAAAAAAAAATTAAATCAATTAGAATAGTTTTAGGTTTTATTTTCGCCGAATAAAAAATAAAACTATTTAATTTATTAGCCTTAAATACCTTACAAAAATAACGATTTTGATAATAATAAATTATCAATAACAAGAAAACATTCCTAAAAGTATTATTACCTTATATTTTACACTCCCTTGCTACTGTATAGACAAAATCAAAATGTCAGCGTGCTTATTTACCGTTATTCATCATATTTTTGTAAAATTTTAATAATAGATGGCAGCAGTTAACAGTAAAACCTCTCAAGGTTAAATTACAGTTTTTTTTACAATTGAGTAAAACAACTTCCTCGAATGTCTGAGTGTAGTGTTTAATTGCAGTTACTACGGTTAGATCGAGATGGCTAATCGCTACTTTGTTAGGAAAGTAGTGATTAATACAGGTATACCTTTCTAGTCACTATATTTTTGGAGTAATGTTACCGGTTATCGAGTAACTACTATTATTTAAAACGCTTCGTATTGTTTAATCGAAGATACTTTCAATCTGTACAGTGAGGTCACTGAAGTTAGTGATGACGTGGATGCATTCACATGCTACTCCAGTGGAGTGACGAGTGTATTTCGTACGCCATGTTTATCAATTGTATAAAATGTTAACACAAATCTGGAATTTACTTCACTTCGGAAAAGTAAGATACTTTTGATATTTTTTAAAATCAATTCATTCAACTATATTATATTTTGAAACAAATTTATCAAGTACAAATATTTAAAAATAAAACACGTCTTAACTCACTCTGGAAACTTATATGGCACTTATCTGATCACATTATCTAGAAATTTTACACTGCAATAACCTGTTCCCATCTATCAATACTTTTACAAAAATATGCGTATTCATTATGCTTATTCTACCCCTATAAATAACGTAAATAAATAGTTGATTAGTAAATAATAATGTAAATAAAATTACTTAAAGACACGAGGATTACAGAAAGTATCAAAATATGGTAATGAAGAGTGGATAGTAAATAAAAGAGAACGACCGAAACTTAGTCTCGTGTGAAGTTTATATTATTCTTGGAATGTGCTAGATTAAAACATTACAGGAATATAACACGAGATGAATTGGGAATAGAACATATAGATGATTAGACAGAGGCTTATCGGAAGAAATGGTTATAACAATCGTATCTAAAACTATCTTCGATTTGCTTTTTTATTACAGAACACAGGATAAATAGAAATAAAATACTGGGAAAAGATACATGGGTGGTAGATAAATATTTTCATAATTAAAGGATACAAGAAAGAAGGTGAGATCCAATTGATGAATTGACTTAGGATAATGGGGATGATCTTTTTTCTACTCGTGTTGACGTCTTAATTGTTGATGAACTATAAAAGTGGTTTTCTCACAACTAAGTTATGATGCATTCATGAACTACCAGTAAAATGACAGATACATTTCATACGCCATATTTATCAATTCTATTTAAAAAGTCGGATGTGGCACGAACGTTTACTTCAGACGAGTAAGTATCGAATTATATTACCGTTTAAAATTAAATATTGAAGTATAAATAATTAAAAATTAATAAATCATTTATAAGCTATATTGCATATCGCTATTTATTTATAATGAATAGTTTATATTAAACGATCCGATATATTGTTNTCCTTTATGAAGGCATAGAGCCTTTACTACATGAAAATGAAAATTAATGAATACACTGTGTACAGTAATTTACCTGATAAGACAGACCTCAGAAAAATACTTTATGAGGCATAAAACTGTCTATAATGAAAATTAATTATCTAAGGTTTTTTTCCCCCTTCCAGGGTGTGGCCGAGTTATCCGGAGTGCCGGGTTATCGAGTGCCGAGTTTTCGAGGCTCTACTGTAATTGCAAATTGTAAGCTTGGAAATTTACAGTTCATTCGCAATAGAGTCACATTTATGTATTAGGAGTTAAACTTATTTATGTTAAAAATGTCTGATTGTGTTCTACCAAAATCTTAAGGATTTTCCAAGCATTAAAATCATGTCATAAATCAATCTTCAAACTTCTATGGCAGGTGTCACATCATATTCTCTTGCTATAGCATGCACCAAATCCTGCGCGTTAATAGTGTGCATTCATCTCACAATGTTTTCTCAAATGTATATATATTCTCAATACAAAATCTTCACTACAAGTAGATCTTCAGGAATAAATGATAAATTATCTTATCAGTAAATTTTTCGCAGATAAAGAACTTGAATGCGCATTGTTATAAAATAATCTACACTTCTGCTTGAAACATTTAAAAATTTTTCTGTTGTGCTGGATCCAAATTTAAATTGAATAGATGGAAAAGTATTAATGTAACTTTCCACACAAAACAACCAAACGTGTAAAACCGACTTAGAACAGGTGAATATTCTATAGATTTAATAATATTATTTTTATCAATTATAATTTTCACTATTTATCTAAATAAATAAATAAAAATTATGTCTATTATAATAGCTATGATTATAAACAAAATAAATATTAATTATGGCAAAACTACTGGGTTTTTATTCTTTTTAATAAATATTGTCGTTGGGATAACTATTGTTATTTACACGGTTTAAAACCAGTAAATAGACACATAAAACTATCGAGATAATACGAAAGAAAATCACTTGACACTTAGCTATATAAATCCAAACTATATATAAGGCGGGAAAGGAAGTGAACATCCCTGCTATAGAATATACACACAGTTTACACATTGTTTTTTATCTCTGTTATTTTTCGCTGCATATAGAGGAATTTAATAATTTTATGGGATATCCATTGAATATTCCTATGCTATCTTTTAAGATAGCTTTCAAACAGGCCGTTTTTCTCCAAATTTGGTTAATGCTGTTCTAAAATGACTACGTTTGAAATATATTAAACAAAAGGGTTTATATCTATAATGTATAGTTTTTTTAATATATTGCAAGATTCTTTATATGTAGTGATCCTAATGTAAGATTCTAACATTTTTATAGTAATACTCCGAGGACCTGCTCTCTTATGAAGTAAAAGTTTATCTGAATATGAAAAAATTCAAGTAAAGTTTTACGACGTAATTGTGCAGGCTCTCGGGATATACATGGACTGCAAAAATCTATAAATCCTTAGAACTATTCACCAATAGAATTTACTGTTCTGTTACTTGTAATAATCGCGTATTTATGTAACTGGGCAGTTTGCATTGTGAAGTAATCTGTGCACAGTTTAGTAGTAAATCTAGATAATTACATGGTAACAATTTATCATAAAATCTTATGCTATTTTATGCAATTTTAAATGCCTTTTTGATTTTTAGCAAATCGTGAAATTTCTTCTGTCAATAAGAATATGGAAGGCGCGATGCTCATCTTTAAAGTTCCACTTAAAATATTGTTTAATGACGCATACTTACAGAAAATGATTTTATTTCAAGTGTAATTCTTCAAGCTTCTTTCATATATAAACAAGTATTTATAGATAATTTAAAAGTAATAAAAAGTACATATCTGTACTTATTTATACAGACATTATAAGAGTATAGACTTAAAAATTTATTTATGTTTATAGGTGCAGGAAAATTCATTTATTACTTGTTGCACATGAAGATCTGCATGCGTAGCGTTATACTCAACTGTTGTGTGTAAGGTAAACAGACTTATGTGTACTTTAAAATCATACTGTTGCTTAAATTGAAGTTTAAAAGAAGTTTAATAAATTTTTGTATCTTACATGTAAATAATTTAAGTTGAATTACAAAAATGGCAGAAGCAGCATCTTCAAGTGACGTTGTTGCAGTTGTTTCTTCAGTTAATTACAAAGAAATTGCAAAAGTAAGTTGTCGAAATGCAATTTGTTTATTAGATTATAGTTAATTGTTTTATGACACAACTGATATCTCGGAATGATTTAAATACTTTATTATAGAGATTGGCTATCCCCTTTTATATTATATAAAGCTAGTATATTATAACTAACAGCTATTGTAACAATCCTCGAGAGTCCTAGTGTTGAGAGAGAGAGTTTCAAAGATTCGCGGGTGGATAAATAAATACCTTATAGAGAATCAGAGGATATTCTTCGTTGCCGATCGAATTGATGACTCAGAAATTTCGATAGAAAGCTCTTAATAATAAATAAGCAGATTGCCCAGGTAACAGATACTGTACGTCGTCGGATGGAGGGAATTCACTAGGGGATGATTAGATGACAATCTTCAATGTTTGTAAGATATCCAGAACTCGGACAAACTGTAGAGAGTGTGAACTTTCGATGACGACGGACCCTCTGTGACGGACAAACTCTCTTCTCGTCATCGGACTTCGCCTTTTATTTCGGGGTCCTCCGCTATTTCTTTTCATGCATTTTTTTGGAAACGTAAACCTTCACGTCGAGTAGCGATTTATTCGTTAGGTTCCTGGTGACACTTTCGATGTATCATCTTGGAAAGGAAGTGATCCGGGGTGAAAAGTACAATCATATTCTTTGCATTTAACAACCATTTAAAAAAATTGACCAGTAAATACTATTTTTTTAAAAAAGTACATATTAAAAATGTTCATTTTTAATTTATACAATTCTTAATTTAACTGTCTATAAACTACTCTGAAAAGGAATTCAAATAATGTAATAAATAAAAATTCTCCACTTACAGGCAAACAACAAAAGGAAGGAAATTGAAAATATAATGAAGGAGGTTCTAAACGGTAAATACTTTTTATTAATATGTAAATTTTCGACTATAAATTCGACTATCTTCTATTATCAAGACTTATTATACTGGTTTTACAGATAATATTACAAAGATTAACAGAAAACAATTTTTATTTTATTTCGTATACCTGTTTGATAATAGAAGATAGTCGAGATATCTGTAAAACCAGTATAATAAGTCCTGATAATAGAAGATAGTCGAATTTATAGTCGAAAATTTACATATTAATAAAGAAAAAAGGACATTGAAGCAATTTAATTAATTAGGTAAATACTTTTATTTATTCTTTTTTTATGCATTGAACCTTCACATTGATATAATGGAAATACTCTACAACCTATTTTGTGCTGGTTATCTTTTCCTTCGTAAGTTTTTTATGGATCCATAGAAATCTACTATTTGTATTAGAACATAAAATGTGTTCAATGCTTAAAGTTTTTTTGCCCGTAAAAATTTCATTATTTTACTTTCTTAAGAACATGAGCGTTATTGTCTGTAACGGAAGACATTCATTATTTTAAATTTTTAATTACACGAATAAAAAATGAGAAACGAATATGGGAAAATAGAAATATATAGCGAAATTCAGAAAAAAATTGTGTGAAATATTAAAAAACAATATCATAATCTCACTAAATTATTGTCTATTACACAGAGACAATTAAGGACCTATGAAAGTTTTCTTAGCAGAGAATTATTCATATTAATTATATTTAGGGGAGATCGGGGCAACTTCGGAATGCGGGGCAAGTTTGTCAAGCGCTTTTTTTTAAAANCAGTAGAGAAAGCAGATTTATTTGGGAAGGAAAGCGGAGACAATATAAGTTTGAAGGAGATATTTTCCACAGAAGAAGATGGTCATCAAACCATTCTAGTGACAGGAGATCCCGGTTATGGTAAATCTCGTAAGTTTTTTATGGATCCATAGAAATCTACTATTTGTATTAGAACATAAAATGTGTTCAATGCTTAAAGTTTTTTTGCCCGTAAAAATTTCATTATTTTACTTTCTTAAGAACATGAGCGTTATTGTCTGTAACGGAAGACATTCATTATTTTAAATTTTTAATTACACGAATAAAAAATGAGAAACGAATATGGGAAAATAGAAATATATAGCGAAATTCAGAAAAAAATTGTGTGAAATATTAAAAAACAATATCATAATCTCACTAAATTATTGTCTATTACACAGAGACAATTAAGGACCTATGAAAGTTTTCTTAGCAGAGAATTATTCATATTAATTATATTTAGGGGAGATCGGGGCAACTTCGGAATGCGGGGCAAGTTTGTCAAGCGCTTTTTTTTAAAAAACAAATTAAAAGGAGACTTTGGTTATAGGTTAGGCAGTTGAGTTTTATTGGTGGCTTGTTGAGTGTAGTGTTTTTATTGTTCTCCAACAAGCGTAGTTGAATTATCAAGCAAATTTTCATTTTCGTTCAATTCCATATAATATTTTTTTTTCCATTTATATTGAATTGGCAGGTTTTGTTATAATTCCATGATAACGAAAGTTACTTTTCCTGTTAGAAGGATGTAACTTCAACTTATTAACGTGGCCAGATCGTGGCTTGGCATTCTGTTCTCAGGGTTGTACTTAATGTTTCGAAATCATGACTAGCGGGGTAAGATCGGCAACATAAAGCCACATTAGAAGCAAAGGATAAAAATCAAACAGATGATAAATGAAAACATGTTTGCATTTGTTATTCATGTATATATGTCTTTGAACTTGCATTTCGTTGTAATAATATTAAATGGGTGTTGGATTTGTATTTCTTTGTTTTAATAGTGAATTCCAACTTATACATTGTTAATAACATAATTTTATATACGTGCCTATCTTGCCCCATTACTGTTGCCCCTATACCAGGGGCAACTTTAATAAAAATAATTAAAATAATTACAACTTTACAAAAAGAGAGAAGTTGCCGATCTTGCCCCTATACCCGGGGCAACTTCGTCAATTTCTCTCTTCTTGTAAAGTTGTAATTATTTTAATTATTTTTATTTCCAAACTGATTTTAACCAGTTCTATAGTAAGGTAACATTCCAATAGACAATATGCAAAGCTTTTTTTCAGTTTACAGCAGTATTTATTACACAAAATTTAAGTAAAGCTTAACATGCCGATCTTGCCCCGATCTCCCCTATATAAACTATTTTTCTCATATTAAAATGACAATGCACAGTTATAATTCGGTAAAAAATAATATTCAATTGCCTATTTATTCCAGTGGTGAAATGCAATGAACATTTGACAGTGCTGAAGAACTGTACAAATGTTCACGTAGGAACGAAAATAGAAATTAATTGCGAAGAATGTAAAAGAAGTATCTTAAATAAAGAAGACGAAGAAACAGATGGTAAGACACATCTTTGTAATTCGAATTTCTACGCTCTTTTGTACCGAGAATAAATATTTGTAATTAATTTACCATATTAAACACTACGCGAATTTTTTAAAAACGTAAAGATTTTTACACAGATTTTAATATTGACCCTTTCTTTCTTCCCTGTGGAAGGGAATTTCGAAAAATTCCCTCTTAGCGTACACTTTCACGAAGTACCTTAACTGTGTACCAAATTTCAACTTTCAACTCTTAACCCTTTGGGCTGTGTGCTTATTATTCTAACACAACACAAAACTTAATTTTAATTTTAAAAAATTGCTTCGAGTCGAGTTAACACCAAATGTATGAAAACTGTAAAATATCCTAAATTAATATTAGACTCATTACATTCATATGTATAGTACATTAAAAAACTTATTCTATACATATTACGTCAGTATATATATGAATAAATTACACATATTACTTCGATTTATAGATACTTTTAAAACTGTATACACATACACTGTAGATTACTTCGAGAATTTTAAGAAGGTTTACTACAAAACAAGTTAAAATCAAAATTTTAACTTGTCTTACTGTAAACAAATTCAAATTAAAACAAGTTTTATAATTTTCAAATACAAAAATAAAACAAAATGAATTAAGATGATCTTTATATAAATTTCACGTTTTTTTACTTATAGAAATCTACAAGAATTGCTGTCAGAAGTTGAAGAACAAATACATAACTTATTTTTCGTACATGAGATCTTTCTTGTGGGAAGGCAAAAGGAACGATTTTCCGTTAAAGGATTATTTCGTAGAATTAACAGTAGAAAAAGCAGATTTATTTGGGAAGGAAAGCGGAGACAATATAAGTTTGAAGGAGATATTTTCCACAGAAGAAGATGGTCATCAAACCATTCTAGTGACAGGAGATCCCGGTTATGGTAAATCTACTCTGTGCAAGAAAATCGTATACGATTGGGCATCCGCGAATTATCTGCGACACTTTCATTTAACATTTATTGTCATTTTAAGACAATTAAATGATAGAAGTGTGAAAGATGCTTTACTCAATGAAGCGCATGGACACTCCTCAATGAATAACGATTGGAAATTTCGCAATAAAGAAATGAACATTTTAGTTATTTTGGACGGGTTCGATGAGATTGTAGAAAAAAGAAAAATTCTAAAATTTATAAGGGAGGAATCTTTCGATATTTCTAGTCGAATGACAATCGTGGTTACGAGTCGACCTCAAGCAGCGGAAGACATCAGAGAGGACATGATGATGAGGTTTTCAATAAAGGGGTTTACTCCAGAATATCAAAAAAAATATGTTCAATTAATGTTTATAGAAGACGAAAATAAAGCCAATCAACTTTCTTCCTTACTGACACAAAATCACTTTTACAGAGAAATAGCAGAATGTCCTTTAATGCTTCATATGTTGTGTTGCCTTCACTACAGTGGGGAAATAGAAAATCTTGAAACAATAACTGATTTATACGTCCGAATATTCTCTCTCATAACTGAACGTTATGTTAGAAAAACTGACCAGAAAGGTAAGTTTAAAAAAGGGAAATATTTTGTGGGAGAAATTTTACTAGTAAAATTAGGGCAATTACACAAAATAGGAAGATCGATTGAATCAGTTGACTTGGAGGGGTATTTCAAAAATAAAGAAGAATTTAAATTTATCATCGGACTAGACATTCTTACTCTCGAGTCTTTTTATGAAGATGATAATATAACTGTATATAGTTTTGTAAATCGTACATTTGGCGAATTTCTCTCAGCGTTTTCAGCATATACCGGTTGTCTCTCATTTTCATATATAACTTATACTATAGAGTTTCTATTCTTATTGGGATTTTATAAATATGATTTGTTTCCTAAAAGATTCTTACGAGCTCTAGAAAAAAAGATATTTACTCCCGAATTCATGCTCCAAGTTCACAAACAAATCAAATTGAAAAGGAACTGGGAAAAGTTTTGTTCTCATTCAGATGTGTATTGTTTTCCTTCGAATTTCTCTCATTTCCATCAGCTATTGACGTTGTATCAATTTAAAAGGTTGTACATATATTTCACTGACACCGCGATCGAATATGACGAAGTGGATGAAATAACGCATCGCTTGAGCATTTGCAAGTGTCCAAATAATTTTCGAATTTATATTATTTTATCCGTTGACGACGAATGTCTCATTACTCAATGTGACATCAGAGAATCTGTTTCACGAATTATTTATTTCTGTCAAAAAACCAACGCAATGAGTTTTGACATCTTTTTTATTGGCGTAAAATTTTATTATTGTGATTCGTACAAAATATTCAAGGATGTAAATTGCAATTTGGATTTATCTGACGACAAGCGGAAATTATTAAAACACGAAAAATTAGTTGCATTAGAAACTGGAGACGATTATGAAAGTACTGGCAATTTATTTATTTCGTTGGAGCAGTACGAATATTTACGTGATCGTATCAAATTAGGGTCAACAAGTAAACAGAACTCAAAGTGTGTGATGATGTAAACGTGTATAAAATACTGTATATGTGTGGTTTTTAAAATGAAACAATAGTTGGAACTTTACTTATAAAATTACATGTATTTTCCGGTTGCGAATTTCAATGTAATAATAGTAAAGGCTAAAATACTAGAACGACGTGAGTCGTGTGATAGAACGTTTTTGTGAGATTATAGTTAAGATAAATGAGAAAATAAATGCAATAAAGTACGATGAGTTTGGGTTTTAACTGTTTTTGTTGAACTGATTTATGTACACTAAGTTTGCAGTGTTTCAGTGTTGTACACAGTTGTTTTCTGTTCAAATAATGCACTATGTTTTTAATGACATAATATATAGTGAATTGAGTTCTTGTTTCCCTCGGGATTCTCCTCGGAACGGAAATGAAATTTGTATAGATCGATATACAGTGTAATAGACATGAACTTTTGCTATTGCAAACACTCTATTTCGAGATACACTGCTCCTATATGAGATTCGGAATTAAGTCACGGGGTCAAATTTGAAACTGGCCGCGATTTTCTGAGGTTTAATCATTTAATGATTTTCAGCAAAGCAGTGAAAGACATTTTGGAAGTTATTTTGACTTTTTAAAAAAACGTTATGCTATGAAATTTCCACGGAATTTCGATTAGACTTATTTTGCATGAAAAAGTTACTGTATATATAATAAATATTAACTGTTTGGGTATAAATTTCGTTATTATATTTGAATTTGAGATTTATTTTTATAAAAAGCTTCACTTCCTTTGAATGTCATATTTTTTTCTTTTCTATTAATATAGCTACAATTTGGCTATTAATTAATGAGGACTTATCACACCACAATTAAAAAGGTGAGCATATTACAATTTCTTTACTCTTTTGGAGATAATTAAAATAATAAATAGTTTCTTATTTGGTCATGTTTTTAATTTTGGTGATAAGTTCTAAGTAGTAGGCAAATTGAAGCTACATTTAACTGTAGTGTTGTGAGTACTGTCAATTTTCATATTGTTAAGTGTCGTAGAAAACTTATAAGTACTTTTTTATTTGTACTGATGAGTAATGAATATTAAAATTGTTGTGTGTTTTTTGGTGTGAAAACATTAAGGCTGCAGCATGCATACCTGCAACGTGCAAAGAGAAGTCGCTAATTAAGTCACAACTCTTTCTGCTAACAAGCACCCATGCACGCTGAAAGTTTATTTTGTTTTCTTGTTTTTATTCAGTTTACACGTGACGTAGATATTGATAAAAAGGAAACAATTTAGCCACACCCTTATTTTTAAAGCAAAAGATAAGCTAAGTCCGAAATTTATACAATAATACAAACTCTAATACGTTGCGTCAATCATAATAAATGCGTATTTACCTTAATCTAATCGAATTAAAATGTCTATAAATTTGGAATTTATATACGAAAAAATAGAAGAACAAAGAAGAAAGCACCTCGAATTGTTTTCCCGATTTAAAAAAATAAAACAATTTAATTGATTAAATACAAAACATAAATTTTCTAATAATATTTTTTTGAATTTGAAACCGAAATACAAAATTAACATGCCAACGTGCATGCAACTTATTTACAATTATCGAGTTATGTTTTTGTAGAAATTTGTCATAAGATGGCAGCAGTTAACGATAAAAGATTTCAAGATTAAAATTTAGTTTTCCTTCAGAATTGCGTAAAACTACTTCCTTTAATGTACGAGTGTATTGTCTCCATGCTGTTAATACGGCTAATTAACTGGTAATTAGTAAACTCTTGCTTAGAAAGACACTAATTAATACAGGTACACTTTTCTAGTCACTATAGTTAATGACTAAAATGATGTCATTGAACTTGCTGATAGGTTGATGAAGTCCCGCGCTATTTGAGTGGATTTACACTTTCATTTCGTACGCCATGTTTTTCAACTGTATGAAACGTTAAAACAAATATCGGATACGGATTGAAGCTTCACTTCCGAAAAGTAAGATACATTTGATAGTTTTTAAAATGATTTCGTTAAACGATATCTTTTCAAACTAATTTATAAAGTAAAATTATTTAAAAGTTGAAAATTATTCATAAGCTATAGTGTGAATTTATTATATCAAGTGTATAGAGTGCAGATTTCTAACTAATATGCCATACGTGGTATTTAGTGACAGAGTTAGTGTGAGTATACTGTGTATTAATATATGTAGAAATTACAACGAATAGACAATTTCGTATTTGCGCTCTTTTGTTAATTTACACTTTTACGTTAGTTTTACTGTCGTTTTGGGGCATAATTTTCTTTTTTGTGTTACCTCTTTTTAACATTCAATCAATTTTATTGTTCGCACTCTTCTGAAAGGCTTAAAAAATAAACGTCTGTAACTGTCATATCCGCTGTAGTCTAGTCTAATATCGTCATTCAGAGAGGAACAATGGAGGGATGTGTGATATTACGTATGTCGATTATGTCAGAAATAGAGACAACTTTACTGGATTTTCAGCGTAAAACCGTAAATAATTTGCATAATTATATTGACACGTATAGCGAAATGTAATAATGCGAATTGTTTGTATTATCTAAAAACATTTTATAAATATTCTGAGAAGTAATGCAAAACAGGAGTTTGGAGCGGTGTGGCCCAGGTTCCCAGGTAAACCAAACATTTAATTCCTTAGTACAGTTATTGCAGATAGGAAGACATTATTCGAACCTATTTACTCTGTAATTTATTTGTAACGTACAGTGATCTACAGTGTAACCTACTACTATGGATGCCACTGAGATGGGGTTTAACCTCTGGATGCATAATATTAAATTTTAAAGCTATCTTAAACTATAGAAATGTCACTCGACTAATTGCGTACTGTCAAAGCCCGCGATAAACTGGAAATTCTACGAACATGGATGGAAAAGGTACAGAGAGTAGTAGGGAGAGTCAGAACTACTCTCTGTACCTTTTCCATCTTGAACACAATTTTCAAGAGGGAGTGAAGCAGTGTTTTGAGATTCACAGTTGTATAGATTACGAAAACTGTTAAGAAACATTGTTTTGTATGAATTTTATATGAATTTAAACGATAGAAATTGATCTTTTGATTTCAAGTGTTAATACGCAATTTTAGTATTATTCTCGAATATATCAAACTATAATTAACATATAATATTTTTTGTAACAAAGATATAAATTCTGTGTTATACGTGTATGATTTGACGACATTTATATCAAAATTTTCGTGATGAACTTATTCCTTAAGGATCCGATCTTCCCGAAAATCTGCGATATTTTTTATGTGTAAATTGTAAAATATTATATTAAAGAGCATTAAATTTTGAAATTAAAATGTATTACTGAAAAAATGGCACATTGAATTATCTGTAATGTTACTTTTAATAAGATTGTATATAATTTGGCAGTCCACATTCTTGAGGATACCTCATATAAGACCAAATCTTTTTCTTTCTGTTGCTGACTTTAGTCACTGGTTAATCAACATAATAACATATTTTACAAGTTAGAATGAATCTTCAGAAAAAAAAAAGTTACGCTTATTAGGGGAAATCGGGGCAAGATCGGCATGTTAAGCTTTACTTAAATTTTGTGTAATAAATACTGCTGTAAACTGAAAAAAAAGCTTTGCATATTGTCTATTGGAATGTTACCTTACTATAGAACTGGTTAAAATCAGTTTGGAAATAAAAATAATTAAAATAATTACAACTTTACAAGAAGAGAGAAATTGACGAAGTTGCCCCGGGTATAGGGGCAAGATCGGCAACTTCTCTCTTTTTGTAAAGTTGTAATTATTTTAATTATTTTTATTAAAGTTGCCCCTGGTATAGGGGCAACAGTAATGGGGCAAGATAGGCACGTATATAAAATTATGTTATTAACAATGTATAAGTTGGAATTCACTATTAAAACAAAGAAATACAAATCCAACACCCATTTAATATTATTACAACGAAATGCAAGTTCAAAGACATATATACATGAATAACAAATGCAAACATGTTTTCATTTATCATCTGTTTGATTTTTATCCTTTGCTTCTAATGTGGCTTTATGTTGCCGATCTTACCCCGCTAGTCATGATTTCGAAACATTAAGTACAACCCTGAGAACAGAATGCCAAGCCACGATCTGGCCACGTGAATAAGTTGAAGTTACATCCTTCTAACAGGAAAAGTAACTTTCGTTATCATGGAATTATAACAAAACCTGCCAATTCAATATAAATGGAAAAAAAATATTATATGGAATTCAACGAAAATGAAAATTTGCTTGATAATTCAACTACGCTTGTTGGAGAACAATAAAAACACTACACTCAACAAGCCACCAATAAAACTCAACTGCCTAACCTATAACCAAAGTCTCCTTTTAATTTGTTTTTAAAAAAAAGAGCTTGACAAACTTGCCCCGCATGCCGAAGTTGCCCCGGTCTCCCCTATACGAAGTATTAATTACTTTTTGTTTCTCCTTAAGCTTTTTACTGTATAATGATTTTAGGTTTTCTTATTTTAGCTATTATGGCTCCGGTTAAAAACTGGTACCCTTAACTTTGCTAGAAACCCTTCGTGCTATCATGTAAGTATTTTCTAGCCATCATATCTATATAATATGTACATATTACAATAATAGTGTAGTATTATAAATTATTATCGGTGTAAGAGAATTCGACTACGACAACGCATATGAAGACCTGTTTGCGTACATAGTCATATTCAAGTGTTATAATCAAGTAATTAGTTATACGTTTTCTTAGTCATATTAGAATAAAATTAAAATTAAACAAAGAAGTGTGTCAAATTTTTATATTTTACGCATAAACTGTTTAAGTTGAATTACAGAAATGGCCGAAGCAGAAGTTTTAAGTAAGGAAAAGAGTGACGTCGTTTGTCCAGTTAATTACATACAAGTTGCAGTTGTAAGTCGGCGAAATGCATTTTATTTTAATGTAAATTATAAATAATTGATTTGTGTCATAACTATTATTGCGTAACGAATTAAAGACCTTGTTTAATTTCGTTGAACAAATTCAAATATGTAACTTCATAAACGTTAGGTTTTACGTACGAGAAAGGTTTTGAAATACTGAAAATTTAATAGGGTAAATCGACTTTTGACTTATGTAAGCCTACTGTTCGCCAACAATCTCACACTTCTAAAGGTGAGATTATGATTTAGCAAAAAATTCTATCTTGTTTTTAGGAATTTATTTTTTAGAAAATACTATTATGTTGCTTGTTTATGTTAAATTTGGTATGATGAGAAAACATCAATTCAGTCAGGTATTTTCCAATATAATTTATTTATACATTCTCAGTTGCCAGAACATTTATTCCCTATTATTTTTCTTATATAACTTTACAATAATAACAGAAAAAATTATATTTAACCTTTATTTATGCCTTTCGGTGGGTATTCTCACAATAGAACAGTGTAGTGATGAAAAATGATTTCAGATTCTAATCGAGTGCCTTCATAACGTGGTTGCATAATAAGTGGCGCATTAATATAAAATACAGTTCATATTTTTAATTTATCTTTGAATAAACTGTACTGTAGACTAGTTTAAAAAGTATAATATATATTATTTAACAGGAAACGGATGGAGTGACGCAGAATGAAAATATGTTTAAGGACCTACTAAAAGGTAGATGCTTGTGAATCTTTTATTTTATACATTAAATTTTTAAATTGTTATATTTTAATATTTTTTACGGAGATGATTGTTAAAATTATCTTAAGCGCATAGCCGAACGATCGCCTTAATTACTCGGGCTATAAATTCTCTATTTTTAAGAGAATAGTGTGGCTATGTATCTATCTATGCATATTAAATAGTGTGGCTTCGGGTTGTTTAATATGTTAAACACGAAAATTCTTCCTAGTAAATACAGTTACACTTTAACAACTTTCATATTATTGAACTGCATTTAAGTTAAATTAACATAATAATTAGACAGAAGTATAATATAGATTTGCTATTGATTTCAGTAGAGAATGGTAATGAATACACGATGATTCTAAAAGAATGCACACAAATTCACATTGGACCAAAAATAGAAATTCATTCTGACGAACCGAAAACAAGATCCTTAAAGAAAGAAGAGGACGAAAGGAATGGTAAGTGCGTGTCTTCACAATAAACATACAAAAAAAAACATTATTATATTTTTATTTTCCGTGTTCTTTTGTGCCGAGAGTGAATATTTGTAGTAAGTTATCGTATTAACCATTATGTGAATTGCTTAATTATATAAACTGAATTTACACTAATGAAAAAAGCTGTAATTTGTATAGTTTTAGTTTATGGTTCATTGTACAGTATGTATATATAAATTACTTTATAATCACAAAAATCAGTTGAATTTATACATTAATTATCTTTGAATAATTTTATACTCAGTATTTTGTTATTTAATAAAATTTTTATTCTCATCTCACTTTGTTATATAACAAATTTTCACAGTAACGTAAAAGATTCATACAGGAGCATTCAGTTTTCATCAGTTTAGAATTCTAAATTAGATTTTTATTATTTACTATTTCAAGGTAATTTGATAAGAAGAATATGATATAGGTATTGACAATTTCCAGTTAAATGGCATTATTTCATTTATTAGTAAAACACTGATAGAAAGCGCGGGTTAACAGCTACAAATAAGGCCCATTATTGATGAACCCATTTGGTTTATCAATTTTCTTGCATAGTTTTTGTTATTGTACGCCCATAGACAAATTCTGTAATATGCAGTAATGTAATAGTAATCATCAGCTGGAAAATTCCAGAAGAAAGGCTGAGAGTACGAACCTGATTATGGATGAAAAAATCAATAGATGTGTGACTACAGTCGACCCTCCTATAAGACAGTAGATACGTTCCATTCTTTAGGAATCCGATTTCTTACGAGTCGTTCCAATCACAGCCCGACACGTGTCAAGTTTACGGACTACGGCTGTTTGAAAGGTTTTCTTCCATAAAAGAAATCGATTCTAGACTAATCCGACTCAACATTTCTAACATACGTATATTTTTTGGGAATAATCCGTATAAACTACGCTATAAACAAAAAATTGTATAATTACTTACCGAGTGTGCACCATTCGACATCGCCATTGCTCAAGCTTGTTTTCGTCGCGAAACAGCACATCAAACCGCGGCCGATTTCTGATAACTTATTTTTCTGCAAAAACTTCGTTGAACTTTGGAGACATCATTAATATAAATAATTTTAATCGCCGTTGAATAAGAAATGTTTCTTTCACAAGAAATGTATAAAATTACAGTACTGTATTAGACTTACGGTACCTAATTTACATACTGTACAGACGATAGTAAACTCATCTTACTCGCCTAAACTCTCTGTAGCGTGGCGCTGAACGGCAGAAAGTATATATATATTTATAATAAAGTTACAATAAATTAAGTTAATATATAATTATATATACAGTACCTAATTTATATATAATTAATATATAATTATATGTACAGTACCTAATTCATATATAATTTATATATAATACTGTACAGACGATAGTAATCTCGCCATAGCGTGGCGCTTGACGGCGCGGAAAGTATTTCGGCTGCCCGATGACGTTTTACGTAATTATAGGAGTTTTTACAGTTTTTTACGGATACCGTCGCAATTTTTTCGCAGTTTTATAGGAATCGTAATTATAGGAACCCGTTTTATAGGGGTCTACTGTATTTTGATAATCTGGAGGATGTATTGGCTAGATTAAATACTTTCGACCACAGCCATCTTAATATGTTGCAGTACAACTTTCAGAATTTTTCTATTAATAGTGAAAATACAAAATTTCTTTAATCGTTAGATGTATCTTATTTGAAAAATGTACTGTATAGTACCTTATTAAAAGTTCGAAGAAATTACAATTGTATATTATATCAGTTTTCGTTTAATAAAGAAAAATGGCCTTATGAAGTGTATTCGAAGTATATATGTATGAACTTACAAAACTCTGATGATTTAATGGACAGCAAGTTAACCTGCTGATAGAGGCTTGGGCATGATAACTGCGCTTGTGAAATGCTTCTAACAAGAATATACTAAAATTCTTTCGGTCTTATGGAATTAGCGGTAAGATAGTCGCACAAATTGCAGGAGGACAGTGAATCAAAATGCCTATTGGAAACAGGTGAATTTTGGCATATTCTAAATATATAAACACGTACAAGAAAAGTATTATAAAATACTTTTCATCAGTCTACATGGCGAGCTGTAATATGCTTCCATCTTAGTACCAGTATACATACTTGTAATGAATGATCCAAGTGTGAGCAATGAGCTTCTATAACTGAACTGAAAATGATATTAGATCTGAGTATAAAATGAGAAATTGGTTTCTGAACTAAAAACACTGGCGTATATATTAGCATTAGGCAGGCCATGAGTGACATGATTTAAAAAACAATTTCGGCGCGTATCTGGTGCAGAATAATGGCATCTGTGTCACGCACCTGAAAGAACAAACTTGATCTTTTTTTTTGTGTTATGTGAATGAAAACAGCAAAAAATCGCTTCACGCGTTGCCGGGCATTTCTAGAACGAAGAGATTGGAGTCGATGATTCATAGAAGTACGAATTACCAGAGAATAAATTTGTTTCTCTGATTGTCTGTTTTTTAAGTGTGAAAATAGATGGCAGGGACGAACACATGGTCTGCTTGCCGTAAGTAAGCTGCCATGTTCTATGCCATGTTTTATTCTGCGATTTCTAATGGCCAGATGGCAAAATTGAAAATTTTGATGTTGCTTCAAAGCTTGTTTTACAACACGATGTACAGATCGTCTTCCTAGCATACTCCAATGCTGTACAATAAATCAATTGAAATTATCACACCCGGCAGATTATCTACTCTACCAGTAGGAAAGTGTCTATTCAATTATTATTTAAGTCGATGCGCTAGCAAAAGCTGTGCACAGTTTCTAATAGAATTGAGTTCGTTCTCAAAATTTAATTGATTGAATTTAAGAAACATTTTGTAATTTCGCTTATTTTGACACGAGAAAATTCGAAATATAAAAGAAAAATTTTTCCACGATTTCGTTTTGGACATTGAAGAAAGCTATCAGGAAAGACCACAATATGTTTGTACTGTACGTTCTTTTTTATACCAGTAGCAAATTAACGTTGTATTTGGTTCCTCAAATCAATAATGTTAGCAAACTAATATAAAGGAAGATTCAAGCAAATTTTTATAAATTTATTACATTAGAAAATACTGAATGATCACTATTCAATTCGAATGCTTAGTGACATATGATATGGTATACTCTTGATATTGATTGGAATTTATAGGATAAAAAGAGATTAAATTTTCTTATAATTCTTGATTTGCAAATAAAATAAATATAATATACACGATATTTCATTAATTATTTTCCCTCCTTTTTTTCTCTTATAGAAATGTTCAACAGTTGCTGCCAAATATTGAAAAATAAATATATGACTTATTTCTCCTACATGAGGTCTTTTTTATGGGAAGGCAAGAGGAACGACTTCCCATTAAAGAATTATTTCGTAGAATTGACTGTACAGAAGGCAGATTTATTTGGGAAAAACAGCGGAGATAAAATAAGCTTGAATGAGATATTTTCCATACAACAAGATGGACACCAAACTATTTTAGTTACAGGGGATCCCGGTTATGGCAAATCTACTCTGTGTAAGAAAATTGTGTACGATTGGGCAACCACGAATTATCTTAAACACTTCGATTTAACTTTTATTGTAATTTTAAGAGAATTAGGCGATAGAAGGGTAAAGGATGTAATACTGGACAACATGCATGAACACTCGACAACTGACAGAGATTTGCATCTACAATATAAACGATTGAATATTTTAGTGATTTTGGATGGGTTCGATGAGATTGTAGAAAAATACAAAATTATAAAATTTATAAGAGAGGAATCTTTTTATATTTCCCGTCGAATGACGATTGTGGTTACCAGTCGACCTCAAACAGCAGAAGACATCAGAGAAGACATGAAGATGAGATTTTCCATAGAAGGGTTTTCTCCAGAATATCAAGAGAAATATATTAAATTAATGTTTAGAAAAGACAAGAGTAAAGCAACAGAACTGTCTTCAGTACTAAAAGAAATCGACTTTTACAGAAAAATGGCAGAATGCCCGCTGATGTTACACATGTTGTGTTGTCTTTATCACAATGGAAAGATGGCAGATGTTGAAACAATAACTGATTTATACATCCGAATATTTATTCTCGTAACCGAACGTTATGTTAGAAAAACAAATCAGCAGAACAAGTTTAAAAGAGGAAAATATTTTGTGGGAGAAAATTTGCTACTGAAATTGGGAGAAGTTCACTTTATCACCTCAGAACGATTGAGGAATTGTTTCCCAAATGAAGAAGAATACAACTTTATTATTGGACTGGACATTCTGACTCTCGATTCCTTTTCTGAATGCGATAATATAATTCGATATAAGTTTGTACATCGCACATTTGGCGAATTTCTATCAGCATTATCAATGTACGTCAGTTTTCAATCTACCAATCTATGTATGTTCTCACCTGCTAATAGTATTATTGGTATGAAATTTTTATTTTTGTTGGGATTTTACCAAGAAGAACCTTTACCCGAACAGTTATTAACGTACGTAGAAAAGGAAATGTTCAAGCCTCAATTCATGCTTCAAGTTCACAAACAAATCAAACTGAAAAAGAACTGGGAACGATTTTGTTCTCGTGCAAAAGTGATATTTTATTCTTGGAAAGATTTTAGTGATTTTCAAGAACTAGTGGAGTTGTATGAATTTAACGAGTTATATTTCTATTTCCACGAGAGAAAGAATGTAGACGATGGAAATCAGAATGAAGCAATTTACTTCTTGAACTACTGGATTTTTCCGAATAAAATGAAGATTTATCTTATACTCTCACTTGACAAATGGCCTTCTGAAAATAAATACGACATTACGGAACCTGTTTCACGCATTATCCAATTGTTTAATGTAACAGACACAAGTGATTTGGACATATTTCTTATTGGCGTAAGTAAGCCCTTGGATGATTCGTTCGATAGATTCACAAATGTAAATTTCAATTTCAAATTATCTGACCACGCGCGGAAATCAGTAGAGGTAATTGAAGACGTGCAATTGGTTGCATTGGAAACTGAAGAATTCGTAGGAGTTTCTAACAGATATATTCTTTCTTTGAAACAATACGAAACTTTACGTCGTCATATCATATTTAAATCTGCGAGTAAACAGTACTGAAAATGTTTGATAATGTAGACGAATAGAAAATATATATTATCGTTTTGAAATAAGAAAATAGCATTAAGTCTGTTTACAATATCACATGTATTTTTCACTGGCGAAGTTCAATGTAATGAAATGGGTAGGCTGAAACTTTATACAATGACAATCGTTGGATGTAACATATTTGTAATAATGTATTGATAGCTTAGATTAATGATTAAAAGATGTTAGTGTTCGGTTGAAATATTTTTTTAGAATATATCTTAGATAAAAGTAAAATAATTTCATTGAAGTTCATTTTGAACTGTTAGATGATTCCATTCACGTAAAATTCTTCGCCAGGTTTTATTATGAAAAGATACATCGTAAATTCAATAGTTGTTTCTCTTGCGAATAGAAAGAGGAATTAAATTTGTATAGTTTTTTAAACAATACGGTAAACAAGAATGTTTTCTGTTCCAAATACTATATTCGAAATACAGTAATACCTCGACTTACGCGAACTCGGAGTTACGCGATTTTCAAATCTCGTCGATTCGTCTTTTGTTTGAGCGCCAAGCAACTCTTGATTACTCACTCCCTCACACTATTGTTCAGCTTACATGTTCGGACTACAATGTGAAAAAGAAAAACGAACATACACACGGCAATTTTCTTTTATTACTATTAGTTTATTTCCCCTTCCATGTTGAGGTAATTACTCAAGATGGTGGTAAACGAATGGCACGGTGGTTTAAACGCTAAATTTATAATTTATTTTTGCATTTCGATAAGTAAAGATAATAATCTGAGTAATTGATACTAGTTCCGTAACACTTTCTGTGTTTCCTGCATGGAGAGCTACATTGAAAATTTCCACGTGAAACAGATTAACAACGGATAAACAGTCCGAGACCCACATATTTCTGTAGGAGGCTTTCCTCATTTCTGAAAAGAAAATGTACTTTAACTTGAAACGTTATATTAATAAGAAATATTAAGAATAACAATTATAATAACAATATTAATAATTACACAGCTTGGTTAAAGCTTATTAACACTTATCCAATTATGTTTACGAAATATTTTACCAAAAGATGGCACCCCGTAACAGTACATTATCAATTTCCTGTGTATTACGCAACAGTCGCGCTCTCAAGGTTTGGTTGAGTGCCTACAATGCTAAAGTGTTACGGTTGTTACAAACGAAACGATTAACTGGTCGTCACTGTTATTGCTTACACGGTGTTCATTAATTAACACAGGTAACTTCTTCTGTTCGATATAAACTCGGAGTGATGTTATTGACACAGAAGCTACGATTGTTTGTAAAACAACAGAGTCGGTATCATCGTACGTCTGACGTCACTGGGAAATTACGAGTGACGTTGAACTTCGCACGTGTTAGCGAGTGAATTGATGACCTATTAATTGTACAAAGGTTTCTGAACGATCCAAATGGGACGTAAACCTTACAAGAAGAGATCTTAAGTGGATTTTTAACAGAATCATAAAATGTAAGTTATACATAATAATTTAAAAATATGGTTATAACAATAGAAATTCTTAATTAATCAATAATTATTTATGTAGTAGATTGCTTAACGATATGCGATACTGTATTTATTATTATTTTTTATCGGGGGCAGGGAGCAAATTTACTATCAAATTCGCCAAAAACTGGTAAAAATTCGAGAAATTGAAGAATATTATTCAGACCAACAAAGCAAAAACACAGAGATAAAAAATGATCTTCGTGTTTTTATATAAGATTTAACAATAATTTGATAGTGTTATATTACTTATTCTGTAAGATTTTTAATAATCTGCTATATGTTACTATATCTAATTTTATATACATATTTTATAATTAGTACACGAATAACCAAACTTATGCATGGACACGTTCAAAAAAAATGTTTTTTTCCATCTACCCCTTTAATGTTATATGCTATATGTTAAGCAATATTATTAGAGGATATCTTCCTACGTTTATTTAAGAACGAAACACTAAATTTTTAATATTTTAAAATAAACTTTTTAAATTCGTAAAGTTATATCGACTCCTAATTCAGAATTTCTTACGGCGTCGTCTAGACAACCCCGTTTAAAACAAGAGGAATATTATTTATTCAAGCGATATGAACTGTCAAGTGTATTGTTAATTAATGTCAACGTAGCAAGGAAAAAGGTGTGCTTATTTGGTAGCATGAATAGGCTTCCAAATAAGCACATCTTTTTCCTTGCTACGTATATTAAAACTGCTTTAGCAAGCAACGTGCTATTCAGCACGTTCCCTAGTAAAGCAGTTTTAATACAGATACAAATGCATGATATTACGCTATTATGGGCTCGCTTTCTTAGTTGCCACGTAGAAGTGCTCAATATTTTGTCCCCAAATATGTTGAAGTAATTTACAGTTTCACAAATGTTTAGAATAGAATTTATTTTTAATTTCAGTAAACTTAATGGTAGAAGAGTGCAACATAAGTAAAATAAGTATTTATTTTTTGTTTATAGGCAATTGATAAGATGCTGCAGCATGTAAATAATTGTCAGGAAGTTCTAAATGGTAAATAAATTTTTCCGTTAGATATTTTACCTTATAATAGATATTTTAATGGAAAATTGCTTCTATATTGCCATTATTTTAATTATTTTTAAGTTATTTTTCATTGTCCTACATGGGTCGCGACAGACCATTAATTAAGACTCGAAAAAATTAATCTAGATAATAATGATGAAATTCGAATCATAATTATCCAAATTCGTCAAATTTAAAGTGTCGTCGTGTTTAAAGTCGTAAAATTAGGGCCCAGTTTATGTTCTCGTGTGAATACCCAATGCAGTTAAACATTAGATATTTTATTAATATCTGTTTTCCTTTTTTATGTCCTCGCTCTGTGGGCGTTTTTAATCATATAAATCGTGTGTTCGACCAAGCCCACTATGAGGGTGACCGGGTGATCAGAAACAGGGCTCGACATATCTGGATAGACCACCCCAAAAGTTTTTTCGGTGCTAGTCTGTCGAGGGTGTTAGGGCATCGGGTCCTCCGGTACCAATAGCGCTTGTCGAAAGCAGGCTTAAAAACTATTTTTCTTATATACTTAAGAATTAAAAGCACTAATGGGCTGTGGATTTCATCTCTTCTGATTATAAGAAATCAAACACCTTTTAATTTCGAGTTCAGCCTGTTGCTGAAGCGCGAATCCAAAATTAATTACAATGTTCAGTGATTAAGTCAGATTCGGATGTAAGAAAGATGTTGAATTATTGTTATGTCGGCTTTCGGAACCTGTTATGCTTTTTGGGAAGGAAGACACTCACTTTACACTCTAAATTCGTTTACAGCACTCCAAGAAATATTGCCTGGTACTTCTTCCTCCAGATATTATCTTAGCTTTATGGTCGCGTTAGTTTCGTCTACATCCCAACTCTGAAGATAAGGTGTAAAAGATTAGGTTAGTCTTAGGGCTTGGGATTTATTACTCCCGTTACAGAGCCGCTTTCACAAGTGTTAGTGGTGTACTCAGATGCTTACAGCTGCAATAGGAACCTGGTTGGTGTAAAAGTCTATGTTACGTAATAAAATTTTAACTAGATGATTAGATTTAATTTTCACACTACCACGTATACAGATTATTAATAACTTTTTAATAATTAATTGCGTGTTAATTTCAGTAGATAAATGTAACCAATATCCAGTAATACTGAAGAAATGTACAGACGTTCACATTGGTACGAAAATAGAAATCCATTCAGAACCACCGAAAACAAGTTACTTAAAGAAAAAAAATGAAGAAGAAAATGGTGAGTGTTTACACTTGCAACGATTATTGGAAAATGTTACACTTTAAATTGGTTTAGTTTTTAAAGCATAAAATATTTTACAGAAAATATTAGCAGTAAATCTTATAAATAAGTAAAAACGATAGAAATATATATCTATAACCCTAAAACACATTAGCTTCTCCGTTGTTCACTTTGATTTTATTTAATTACTTTTTGCAATTTTAATTGTTTTACTTAAAACACCGAATATAATCAATAATCTGAAAGTTTGAGTGGCTCAAAGAGTGGAAACAATTTTGTCTGCATCTTAATCATAGGAAATCAGGCGTTTAGCAGCAACGATTTCAACTTGTTCTGTTTTACATTTGGACTGACTTCTTTACATGTGCCACTGGATCCAACATCTGCTACTTTTCCTGAAAAAAAAATGAAAATTCGAATTTCTTAGGCACTTACTACCTTTGTCATGTCAACACCTTAGTGGAATTAATCGTTATATTCTAGGAACAAAATATTTTAATTTGCTGGCAGTTTGTTAAAATAGTAACAGAGAAACGGATATAAATTAAATTATATATTGATTAAGTAACTATTATTAATGACAATAAATAGTATTTAAGTTACACATTTTTTAAATGTTTGAATTGAATATGTCATCACGCCTTGTGTGTTATTTGTTTCTTATGCACACATCTATGATTAGAGTTTATACATAAGATCCCTCTCATTAATTGGTTTGTCCTTACCTGTTGCCATAAGTGTAAAATTAAATAATATCAGAAACCTCGCGGTGTTTTCCATACTTTCTCTACGTGTGTTAATTTAACAAGAAGAGTTTTTCCATAGAAATTCGTCGCGAACGAAACCTGCTAGACAGATTTTCCACGTGTTCCATAGCTGCCTTTTATTAATCCAATGTGATCCACTCCTTGTCTTTGTTTAAATTGTATCCAAATTAATTGAAAACTACGATTACAACCATCTGTAATTGTCTTATTATCCACGGGTCCCTTTTATTTCTTGGAATATTGATCTTAAAACATGAAATAATTTTCTTCTAATTTTGACTAAATAAAATATTTTAAAAATTAGCGCAGTTGTTCATTAACTTTTCTCTCTTTTCAGAAATTTATGTCAACTACTGCAAGAAGTTGAAAAACAAATACAAGACATACTTTGCTTACATGAGATCCTTCTTGTGGGAAGGAAAGAGGAACGACTTTCCATTAAAGGATTACTTCGTAGAATTGACAATAGAAAAGGCAGATTTATTCGGTAAGAAAAGCGGAGATAAAGTAAATCTGTGTGAAATATTTTCTAACCAGGTCGACGAACATCAAACTATTTTGGTGACAGGACATCCCGGTTATGGAAAGACCACTCTGTGCAGGAAAATTGCATACGATTGGGCATCCACGGATTACTTGCAACGTTTTGACTTAACGGCATGTATTATTTTAACAGTTAGGCGATAGAAGTGTAAAAGAAGCATTATTCGATAACTTGCACGAGAACTCGTCATTTGATAAAGATTGGAAATTACATTTTAGGCAATTGAACATTTTGGTGATTTTGGATGGGTTCGATGAGATTGAACAGAAAAATAAAGTTATAGAATTTATAAGGGAGGAATCTTTCGATGTTTCTAATGGAATGGCGATTGTGGTAACGAGTCGACCTCACGCAGCGGAAGAGATCAGAGAGGACATGAAGATGAGATTTACGGTAGAAGGGTTTTCTCCAGAACACCAGAAAAAAATATATTGAGTTAATGTTTAGAGAAGACGAGAATAAAGCGAGAAGTCTTGTTGAAAAAATGGAGGAAGATGAGTTCTACAAAGAAATAGCTGAATGTCCTCTAATGCTGCATATGTTGTGTTGCCTTCATCAGGTTGGAGAAATAGAAAATGTTGAAACGATGACTGATTTATACATTCGAATATTCTCACTCATAACTGATCGTTATGTTAGAAAAACAAATCAAAACGGCAAATTATAAAGAGGAAAATATTTCGTGGGAGAAAATTTGCTAGTTAGATTGGGAAGATTAAACAAAACATCAAACTGTATCACATCACAACTCTTGAAATCTTCTTTTCCGAAGGAAGATGAATACAATTTTATTATTGGACTGGACATTCTCACTCTTGATTCCTTTTCTGAATTCGATAATATTACTGAATATTGTTTTGTGCATCTGACATTTAGCGAATTTCTTTCAGCTTTATTAATGTACCTCGGATATGTTTCATTTCCAAATCACATCAGAGATATGGAATTATTATTTCTATTGGGATTTTATAAGCACAAACCTATACCTAAAATCTTCATCAAATCTATAGTGGATAAAACCTTGTCTCCTGAATTGATGCTTCGCGCTCGCAAAGAAATCAAACTTAATACAAATTGGAAACAATTTTCGTCTCATTCGAAAGTGATATTTCGTTCGTGGAAAGATGTTATTTATTTCAAAGGGCTATTAAAGCTGTACGAATTCAAAGAACTGTATTTGTATTTCTATGAGGAAAAAGATGAATACGATCAAAGTTTGAATGAGGCAATTTATTACTTGAACAATTGTACTTCTCCGAATAAATTGAAGATTTCTTTTATCCTGCCACTCGACCGATCGTTTTCGGAAAATAAATACGACATAAGAGAACCAGTTTCGCGTTTTATCGATTTGATTCATAAAAAGAACACAAGTAATTTGGACATTTTTCTTATTGGCGTAAGTTACCTCCCGTGGTTTCCATTCGATACATTCAACAATGTAAATTTCAATTTGAATTTTTCTGGTGACACGCTGAAATTATTAAGTGTAAGTGAAGACGTGAAATTGGTTTCATTGGAATCTGTATTCAACGAAAAACTTTGTATAAGTTTTATTCTTTCATTGCAGCAATACGAAACTTTACGTGATCGTATTATAATTCGGTCTACGAGTAAACAGAATGCAAAATGTGTGGTGTTGTAGAAGACTTTAAAGATAAATATCAGGTTTTTTAAGAGATAGAATTGTCTGATTTTTATTTATAAAATTACAAATATATTTCAGTGACGAAACTCTAATTAATGTAATGGACATATGGAATATTTCGTCTTCAGAAATTTCTTAGGTTGGAAATCTTTCATTATTTTAGAAATTTGACGTTTATATGTTTAAACGAAATCTCAAAAGTTTAATATGATTTAATATTCATTAACAATAAATCTTAACGACTTCTTTTGATTGAATTACTTCAACCGCTTTTCGCAACAGTCCCTTTTTTCCATACAACCAGCGGTATGGTGTCATTCGAATTGGAAAATTACATAATACAAGATTACCGTGGATGCCCAGTGTACATGTTTGGTCTATTTTTAGCAAACTTTCATTCGTTGGCAGATTACCATGTTATATTTTGCTGTGAACGGAACAGTTTGTTAGAGCTAACATTAAAAAAAAACAATATTTTAAATTTTTGAGAATAAATAACTGGACTTCTATAGCGAACAGTAAGATTGTTTATAGTTAATTGGGGCCGGTTGATCTATCTCTTTTCACATCTAATCCGGACTTTCATTTATCTTACACCTTTCTTGAGATTAAGGAAGATAGGAAAACAGGTTAAAAGACAGATGGAGGGCAGTATGAATTTACAGGTCTACAATGTTTTAATATTGCGGCACAATAATTATTTTAAAGATACACATATTATAAAGTTTCGCTTTTGGTGTGAAATTCGGGCAATTTTCAGGAAAATTAACGGAAGAATTCTTCTCTTTCGTCACTCGTAAGACACAATGAAACTTATTCTCACTGAGAATTATCGATGTAATTTAGTATGACCGAAATAATCCTTGATTTTTTGGGGCGTGCTTTTTAACTACTATTTGATAAAGATAAGCATATATTAAATCCAAAGTTAATACAATAATACAAAATCTGATACTTCCGGAAAATCACAAGAAAGAAAGAATTGACGTGGCTAAAACCACGTTTTTACTTTTACCCAAATCAAGTAAAATGCCGATAATGTTGGAATTTACTTAAGAAATAGCCAATAGATCGAAAAAAGTAAAAGATAACCTGAAACTGCACATCAAAGAAACTATAAAATTCACCACATCGAGTCATTTAATTATTAATTAATACTGGTCTACTATTAAAATTAAAAAGTGATTCGTGTTGGTTGAGTATCTTGTTTTCCTTTTTTTGAACTTCAACACTTTCCGCTTCTACTTTTAATTTTAACAGACGTAATCATCAATTTCCGTTCGTTTTATATTTGTGATAAAGACTGCATTTCTCGTAAGTATTGACTCACAATTAAATTATGTTTTAAAATTATATGTAAAATAATGACAAGAATATATGTAGACAATGGAACAATAGCAGTTGTTTTTAATTCTGCAGAAACATCTTCACGAACAACTGTATATACAACATCAGGAGTTCTTCATAAAGCCTCTGTAACTTTAATATTTTAAATTTAATATTCGTTTTTCTTTCCAAAAATTAATTGCAGTACACTTTTCTATAATTCGAGTTTTCTCTAAAATCGAACTTGACAATACTCCGCCTGTCTGATTTCTATTTAAATCAATGTAAAATTGTTTGGTTAATTTAAACTGGATTGTGCCCCCTCTTGTTTATTGGAATCAAAAGCGTGTGTTAGTAGATTAACACCGTCTTGCATATTTAAAATTAAAATTAAATAGGAAGATAAATTACTAAATTAAAATTTAAAAACATTTCAAATCAGTTGGCGCACGATTAGGAAGTTTTGGCGCTTGCTAGTCATGGTTTTTCGTTGGCAATACACAGCCTTCGTTTTGTATAACTCCTTGATTAATTATTATATTAATTTATTAATATTAATTAAAAACTTTTGCTAAACAACTTATATGACCGTTCGAAAGTGACAAAGAAAGAAAAATATAAATAAAATTAATCGTAAAATTTGTAATATTCACATGCAAACAAATATAAAATTATTATAATTAAATCAGATTTGAAAAAAAAGCTCTGTTAGAGGAAAAGTATTACAATTAGTAAATACAAAACCCCCAAAAAATTATATATTTTTGGACTCCGACACATTGAAACATCGACAAATGCAAACAAATTCAGGGTTGGTGTATGTATGAATGTTAGTGTGTATGTGTTTTGGGTACGATTTTGTTCACACTCTTCGAGACTTAATAACTTCTGTGCATTTTGTCGAAAATTTCTGAAATTTTGCAGTGACACGTATGTAAATCTGGTGATACGAGTTCGGCACACGTATCAAACGTGCATTACCGAGCACTGTTTATTTGCTGCAGTTTTACTGCATTGTTAGAGAGGTTGCGGCCGACGTTTCCATCGCGAAAACGTGTACGTCGGACGTTTAGCACGGCCTTCCTGTAAGCCTAGAAGTTTGACAATGGCGTTTGGAACGTCAGGGGAATCATGCTCGATGTATCAAACGCCATTGTCAAACTTCTAGGTTTACAGGAAGGCCGTGCTAAACGTCCGACGTACACGTTTTCGCGATGAAAACGTCGGCCGCAACCTCTCTATTTACATTTTTCGTTTTAGTTTTTATACTATTCTTATTATTATTTTCATTCTTTTATGCATCAGTTAGGTCTTTTTCTTGTGTGATTTTATGTAATTGGGGTTTGAAAATCGATTAATTAACTTTATATTATTCTTTACAAAATTTTTTTCTTTGGTTTATTTGAAGACAGGAACGCGTATTCAAATAAACCAAACCATCGGCGATTTTCCGACAGAGAGATCTTTTATAAAAACCTGCTTCTTATTTAGGTCTTATAACGTGAAGGAAACCTGAAAAACTCTCCCTTGGCGAGGCGCGAACCCAAAATTAACTACCTCTGTTCAACGGTCTTATTTATTGGTGGACACAAAAATTATTTTGATACTCGAATGCCTTATAGCAGTGTTTTTCAACCTTTTTGAATACGTGACCCCTTTACAAGTTAAAAAATTCTGGCGACCCTCTACGGCCATATTAAAACTTAGTGATTTTCTTTTACAGTATTTAATTTTCTTTCGGTTGAGACCTAAATATCGATCAAAAAACTAATTGTACTGTAAAATAAACAGGCACAGCCTTGTCACTGAAATTGTAGTTTTTTATTGTAGTGTAGGACCTAAAAACACTTGTCTTTCTCTTTTACCCGCAACCCCCCGTGTATGGCTTTGCGACCCACCAGGGGGTCGCGACCCACAGGTTGAAAAACACTGCCTTATTGGAACAAATTGAATTTGACTTACGCGTTATCATTTTATACTTATTGTTATCTTCAAGACAATCTGGAAAATATATTCTAGAAGATATACGGGAAAACTTGTAAATAACAAATGAAACAATAAAAACTTATCGAAAATCAGTAAAGAAAGACATTTACACTCATCTCTATCAGTTTTCTTCTTTAAATGAAAATGTGTTTTATATTATTTATAACTTAGTTATGAGAAGTACAGTAATTAATTTTAATTTGTTAATTTATTGCACTACTGATAATTGTGTGAGTAAATAATTTCAATTATATAACAAGTGTACAACATAAGGCAAAAAAGTATGACAATTTTGACCTCAAAAATATTTATAAGGCATTTTAATTTAAAAAATCCGCTATTACTCTTCGATTTAGAAAACAGGTTAAACTAAAGTTTGATTTAATTATTTCTACTTTATACTTAGCAAGAGTAAAGGTAAGAATCCTAAGAAAGATTGATGTTCAATTTCATGATCGTGATCGATGACAAGAATTCTGCAAACGTATTAAAATGTCGTGTCAGACTTTCTTAATACTTCTCTGAAGTTTTCGCTCTGGGTACCTTAATTGGAGGTTTCACAGCCGTTATGCTTATTTAGACGTGAAAATGTTAATTAATTAAACCGTGTCAAGTACCACGAAATTATTTTGTCTCAGAAAATTTTCAGCAAAATAGAAATGGTTAATTTTTCAGGTTCATCGTTTTATGTAATTTTTTTTACTTTAATGTATATTC